CCTCTAGACGCCGAATACGTAAAAGGCACAAGGTTGTTCTCTAGCTGGGGCCCGGGCTGGCCGGGGGGAGCGAGGCGGGGCACAAGGTTGTTCTCTAGCTCGGGGCCCGGGTTGGCCGGGGGGAGCGAGGCGGGGCGCAGGAATGGTTCTCAGGGCATGCGGCCGCTCTCGGAGCGGCCGGAGCGCGTCGCGCGCTGTGGACAGCGCGGCCGCGGCGGGATGCGAGACTCAGAGCAGCCAAAGCGGGTCGGACATGTAGATCGCGGGCGGCGCGTCGCGCCCGGGCGTGTGCGCCCGGACGTCGCGCGGCGGCGGCGTCGGCTTCGCCGTGAGGCGCACGGCGACGGGGGGCGCGTCGGTGAACTGCGCCTGTGCTTGCTCCCGCCAGTCGGGGCCGTGCGGCGAGGTCATGATCGACTCGATGACCGGCGGGGACATGAACAGCAACGGCATGAAGCCGTAGTCGGGCCACAGGTAGATGTCGGGGTGCGTCTTCGCCGCCTCCTGCTTGTGGACGCGCGGCCGAAGTTTGCGGGGAATGTGGGACTTGGATTTGCGCGCCGTTGACGACGCGATCGCGGAGAGAACGAGAAGCGCCGCGCGGCGCATGACTTTTTTTTTTTTTGTGCGATGTGTGGTGATGCCTCGAGGCTGGGCGGCGTGTGAGAGGGTCTTGGAGGGGCCTGAGTAGCGAGGCGCACGTCGAGACGCTCGAACGAACTTTGATGCGGGCCAGAAGGTGGTGCAATGAAGGTGCAATGAAGCCGTATCAAATGAGTTGACGTCAACATGCAAATCTTCTTAGGGCTTCGGGCTGTTCGGCGCCGTCCCGTCGGCCGCTGTCGGCGCGATGGGCGCGAGCTTCGGCGCGCGCGCGGACGTCGTCGTCGCGTTCGCCGTCTGGAGCTTGCGCGTCGCGTCGCGGCGGAGCGCGCGGTGGAAGTCGTCCGCGAGGGCCGCGTCCGCGCGGAGCGCGTCGCGGAGCGCGGCCATGTCCCAGGCGGCGTAGGACGCGTCGGACCGCGCGACGCACGTCGCCGACGCGACGCCGGGCTCCGTCTCCGCGGCCGGCCGGAGGAACGTCATCTCGCCGAGCCAGCACGGCGCCGACAGCTCGGCGACCGTCTCTCCGCTTTCCCCCACGACGGCGACGGTCTCCTCCTGAGCGTCGTAGACGAGCACGAGCCACGTCACGGGCGCGCCCCGGGTCGTGAGCTCGTCGCCCGCGCGCGCGACGCCGCCGCGCGCGGACCGCAGCAGGCCGGCGACCGCGTCGAGCCCCATGCCGCAGGGCGCGAAGACGGCCGCGTGGAGCCGCGCCGCGAGCGCGTCGACGGGCGCCGCGAGGGGCTCCGGGCGTAACACCACCCCCGTCGACGCCGCGCGCCGCGGCGGCCGCTTCGGCGCGTCGCCGGCCGTCGCGTGGATCTTGGCGACGACGTCCGCGTGCAGCATGCGGTCGACGGCGCGGCCCATGTCCGCGTCGTTGGTCACGAGCGCCTCGAGCGCGTCGAAGCTCCAGGAGAGCATGTCCAGGGGGCCCTCGGCGACGCAGGACGCGTTCGCGGACCCCGGGCCCGCGTGGCGGTTCAGCCACGACACCTCGCCGACGAACTTGAATGGGTTGATGGTAGCGACTCTCGCGCCGTCGACGTGCACCGACGCCGCGCCCTCGACGAGGAGGCCCAGCGACGTCACCGTCGTCCCCTGCGTCGTCAGCTCCGCGCCGCGGTGCTCGATGCGCCGCGTCGCCGCGAGCAGCAGCGCGCGCGTCTGCGGCCGCTGGAGGCCGAAGCGGGAGAAGACGCGCGCGTGGAGGTGCTCCTGCTCCGACGACAGGGGCGGCGCGCGCGACGCGACGCCCCCCGCGAAGGCCTGCGCGGCCGCCATCTCTTCGACCATCGTGCCCAGCGTGTCGACGCCGGCCTCCCAGGGCGTGAAGTTCCGCGTCCCCAGGAGCAATTCCAGCTCCGTCTCCGGCGGCCACTGCCGCGAGAGGCGCACGATGAGGATGCCCGGCTGGCCCCGCGTCGCGTTGCGCTTCAAAGCGCAGGCAAATTCATGAAATGTGCCCAAAATGTCGCCGCCCGGCGCGCCGTACGTGTCCGACGCCAGCGCGACGAAGACGCAGCACGTCCGCAGCGCCTCCGTGATCACGCTGACCCAGTCCTCCGCGTTCATGATGTCCGCCTCGCACACGAAGGGCGCAAAACCCAACGTCTCCAGGTGCGCGGCCAGCGCCTTGGCCTCCTCGAGCGCCTCGCTCACCCGGAACGAGATGAAGACGCGCTTCCGCCGCTTCGTGCGCTCGAGCGCGCGGACGGGCGTCGTCACGTGGAGCGTCGGGCCGTGCGCGAGCTTGATCTCCGTCGGCGAGTCCGCCGCGCCCGGCGGCGTGGCGACGCGGGGCGTCTCGCGCGGCGGCGTCGCGGCGTCGCCGGCTCGATCTCCGTCGGCGAGCGCGCCGCGCCCGGCGGACTCGCGCCGCGCGACGAGCGGCACGCCCCGGCGCTTCCACGCGCCCAGCAACTCCAGGAGCCGCCGGCGGTGGATGGCCCACGCGACGCCGATCTCCTCGAGGTCCCGCTCGTTCTTGACGTGCCTCAGCATCGCGCCGTCGAGCTGTTCGTTCTGCACGACGGCGAGGACCTTTGACGGCATGCTTGCATCGCGCAACGCGTTACAGACATTGTCGCAGCTCGCATGGACGAGTTCCACGGCGCCGTCGCCGACGACGACCGACGAAGCCGCCCCCATTGCAGCGCGGAGAGGCTGCCCAGCGCGCGCCCGGACATGCGCGAGAGTTAACCGACTCGGCACGAAGGACCTCAACCAACTGGGTTCACTTTAGTGAACTAATAATCACCGATGGGCAGCCCAAAATAGGCACGATGCGCGGCCTCCTCGCCCTGGCGTGGCTCGCGTCGGCGTCCCAGTTCCTCGTGCGCAAGACGTCGTTCAGCGAGCGGCACCGCGTGCTCTTCGTCGCGGGCCTCGAGGGCACGGGCCACCACATGTGGCCCTACGTGCTCAAGGCGAGCTGCCCCGAGGGCCTCTGCGCGGCGGACGCCGAGGTGTCGCTCGCGCTCTTCAGCGCCGGCAAGGTCCCCAACGGCCACAGCTGGGAGCTCGAGTCGTCGGTCTTCGCCGTCGACGTCGGCGACGCGGCGCGGCGGCGCGAGGGCGTCGCGATCGTCGTCGCGGGCCTCCGCGCGGCGGCCCTCGAGCCGAGGCACTCCCTGCTGGCCCTCAACGCCGTCGGCGGCGGCGGCGGCCAGTGCGTGAACGCGAGCTGCAGCGGCATGATGTCCTACCCGAACTTCCAGGGCCCCGGGCGGCCGCTCCACTACCCGGACGTCTACCGCCTGGCGCGCTGGGCCGAGGAGGCCGGCGCGGACCTGCGGGTCGTGGTGATGACGCGCAACGCGCTCGACACGCTCGCGTCGACGACCGTGCACCGGAGCTTCGCGTCCTGGGAGCAGCAGAGCGTCATTCTGACGAACGCCGTCGCGGCGCTGAAGCAGCAGCTCGACCTCGTCGACCCGCGCTTCTACGCCTGCGCGCCCTTCGAGGGCTTCGAGCTGTCGCCGCGCCTCGCGGCCTTCGTGCACCCGAGCCTCGTCGGCGGCAAGTTCACGAGCCGCGACTCGCGCGTGCGGCGGCCGGGCGACAACTCCACGGAGCAGCACGAGGCCACGGAGCGGCTCGCCGCCGCGCTCTCGACCCTCGACGCGGCGTGCGCGAGTGCGGCCTAAGGTTGAGTCGCGCCGACGCGCGCGCGCCGCCGGAGCTTCGACGCCGCCGGCGGCCGCCGGAGCGTCACGGCGAGCGCGTGGACCTTGTCGTCGCGGCCGCCGACGAGCACCGTCGCCCCGTCCCCCGTCGGCACGGCGACGGGGCTCGCGAAGACGTCGGCGCCGACGTCGAAGGTCGCGAGGACGTCGCCCGCGTCCGCGTCGAGGAGGACGACGGCGCCGCGCGCGGTCGCCGCGACCGCGAGGGCGCGGCCGTCGCCGGCGACCGCGAAGACGCAGGGGCTCGCGAAGGCCGGCGATCCCAGGTCCCGCGCCCAGACGAGACCCCCGTCCGCCGCGCGCAGGCGCGCGGCCTCGCCGCCGGCGACGACGACGACGGACGCGCCCGCGCGCCAAGGGCACGGGCTCGCGAAGACGGGCGCGCCGCGGTCCGCGACCCAGAACGCGGCGCCGTCGCTCACGTCGAGCGCGGCGACCGTGCCGTCGACGGCCGCGACGACGAGCGCGTCGCCGATGAGGGCCGGCGTCGCGTAGACGGGGCCGGACCGCCGCGGCCGGCGCCAGGCCGCCGCGCCGTCGGAGTCCCGGAGCGCGTAGGCCGAGCCCGCGAGCGTCGCTACGAAAACCCGGCCGAAGCCGACGGCCGGCGACGCGAAGACGGCGGCGTCGAGCTCGGCGGCCCAGGCGACGGCGCCGTCCGCCGCGTCGAGCGCGCGCGCGCGACCGTCGTGCGACCCGTAGACGACGCGCGACCCGTGGACGACGGGCGCGCTCTTGACGGGCCCGCGCGCGACGCGGCACGTCCAGGCGACGGCGCCCGTGCCGCGGTCGACGGCGTAGACCGCACCGTCGTAGCACGCGACGAACGCGCGCGCGGCGCCGACCGCGGCGCCGGCCTCGAGCGCCGCGGCCGCTGGCTCGCCGCCGTCGCGCACGGCCGACGCCCAGAGCTGCTCGCCGCCGTCGACGTCCAGGGCGTAGAGGACGCGCGCGTGCGACGCCACGTAGCAGACCCGCCGGCCGCCGGCCTCGGCGACGGCCGCGGGCGCGTCGACGCACTTCGTCGCGGGGAAAACCCAGCGCCGCGCGAGGCCGTAGCGCACGTTCTGGTCCGCGGCGGCGGCCCGCGGGCCGGACCGGGGCGCCGGGTCGCCCGACGCGCACCTCGCCCAGATCCGCGGGTCCGGCGCGGCGCCCGCGGCGAGGTCCGGCGCGCGCGTCGCCGCCGCCGCCGCCGCCGCCGGCGGTGCCGCCGGCGGTGGCGCCGCGCCCTGCCCCGCGGCGAGGCGCCGCGCGACGTCCGCCAAGGGGGCCGCGAGGTCCCGGGGCTGGAGCTCGGCGCCGAAGGCGCGGTTCGCGCGCCAGCAGGCCTCGATGGCGAGGAGCGACGTCCCTCCGCGCGCGAAGAAGTCGTCGTCGTCCCGCGCGGCGACGACGGGCAGCAGCTCGTCGAAGAGCGCGGCGAGCCAGGCGTCCGCGCCGCCCTCGGGGGGCGCCGCCGCCGCCCGACACGCGTCGCGCGGCGCGAGGCGGTCCGCGAGCGCGCGGCGGTCGACCTTGCCCGTCGGCCCGCGGGGCAGCGCGTCGACCTCGAGCACGAGGCTCGGCCGCAGGGACGGTTCCAAATTGCCCAGCGCCGCGCGCGCGGCCGCCGCGGCGCCGGCCTCGACGAAGGCGACGAGCGCGGCCTTGCTCGGGTCGCCGCCGCCGGCGTCGAACACGAGCGCCGCGCGCCGCGCGCCCCAACGCGCCTCGAGGTCCCGCAGGCTCGCGCGCACGCCCCGCACCTGGACGACGTCGTCGAGGCGGCCGAGGCAGAAGAGGTCCCCCGTGTCCGGGCAGCGGCGGCCGCGGTCGCCAGTCCGCACGAAGCGGCCCCGGTCGTCCGCGCCGAACGCGCCGCCGTCGACCAGCGTCCCGCCGGGCCCGGCGTAGCCGAGCGCCAGCGCCGCGCCGCGTACGACGAGCTCGCCGCCTTCCAAAGCCACGTCGACGCCGCCGTCGAGGGGCGCGCCGACGGGCACGTCGCCGGTCTCGTGGTCCGTGACGTCCGCGAAGCACGCGTCCGCGGCGCACTCCGTCGAGCCCCAGACGTTGACGAGCTTCGCGCGCCCCTTTGCCGAGGCGCGGAAGGCCGCGACGAGCCAGGGCGGCAGCGCCTCGCCGCTCGCGACGACGAGCGCGAGGTCCGGCAGTCTCGCCGCGAGGCCGCCCGCGCCGTCGACGACCCTCAGGAACGCCGCGAGCAGCGACGGCGTCGCCAGGAGGCGGCCGCAGCGCCCCGCCGCCGCGGCGGCGACGAGGTCATTGGTCGCCGGCACGTAGAGCGCCGCGCCGCCGAGCGCCGCGCCGAGCATCTCCGCGACGGAGTCGACGAAGACGCAGGGCGTCCGCCGGAGCGCGGCCTCGCCCGGCCGCCAGGGGAAGGCCGTCCACTGCCACTTCAGGCGGTGCGCCGTCGCCGCCGCGGAGCCGACGACGGCCTTGGGCGCGCCGCTGCTGCCCGACGTCCGGAGGATATAAAGAGCGTCCGCCGGCCACGCGGCCGCGTCGGCGACGCCGCCGTCGTCGGCGACCTGCGCGGCGCCGGCCCGCGGCAGCACGATGGCGCGGCACTTCGACCGCAGGGGCTCCAGGGCCGCGAGCGCGTAGACGTCGCCCGCGCGCGCGACCGCGGCGGCCGGCGCCGCGAGGCCGAAGACGACGGCCGCGCCCGCCGCGTCGCAGGGGCACCAGGGCGCGCGCGCGACGACGCACGCGAGCAGCGCGACGACGTCCCAGCCGTCGCGCCCGCCGCAGAGGGCCACGGCCAGCACGCCGCGGCCGCCGCCGGCGCCGCAGGCGACGAGCTGCGCCGCCAGGGCCCGGCACCGCGCGTCGACGTCGCCGTAGGTGAGTACGTCCGCCCGCCCCTCGAAGCGCAGCAGGGGCGCAGCGCCGTGGGTCCTGGCGGCAGCGCGCCAGAGCGCGACGAGGGTGTCCATCTATAGGGGGCTGCCTCTCAAGACATCATCGCATCATATGCATTGCGAGCTGCAACAATCAGGGCAAACATCGGCCGGCAGGCGCCGGTCAGACAGAGACGCGATGCCCGCGCGCCGCGGCCCCGAGCTGGCGCTTGGGGCGCCGTCGCTCGGCGGCAACACCCTCGGCAGTTCGCGTAAAGAGGCGCTCCGAGTCGCCCCGCGCGACGTGCCCGAATGCGTCGGCGGCGACGGCGCTCGCCGAACCCAAAAAGTTACGAAACTGTCGCGGGTCGGCTCAATCGACGTTGCATCCACGCGCGCGCCGTGATCACGAGCTCACGGACCAGCGCGAGCTCGCCGCGGACCAGCGCGAGCTCGCCACACGACTACGTACCGGCTGCCGCACCGCGCGAGGTCGGGCGCCTCGACTCGGGCGGCAAGGCGACGAGGACGCAGAAGTAGCCGCGCCCCATCCCCCCGCCGCGGCGCGGCGACGCGGACCCGGACGCGGGCCCGGACGCCGCACCGACGCGCGCGCGCCGCGACGCGGCCGCCGAGGCCGCGGAGCAGTGCCGGCGCGGCATCGGCCTCGGCGTCGCCGCGGCCGCGGCGACGACGGGCTCCGCGCTGGTGCTCGATCTTTTGCGCGACGCGGCCGCGGGGCCCGTCGGCGCGGTCGTTAAGTCCGGCGACGGCGCGGTCGCGGAGCCTGTCGCCGGCTCGGCCGCGCGCGCGTCGTAGACGCCGTCTGCCGCGGCGGCCGCGCCGCGACGGCGGCGACGCCTTCGTCGCGCGCGGCGACGCCGTCGCCGCCGCACCAGACGACGCCGCGGGCTGGCGCCGCTGCCGCGCACTACGACGCCGCGACACGGGCCGCGACACGGGCCGCGGCGGGCGGGCCGCCGCCGCCGCCGTCGCCGCCGCGCTCCGCGACGACGCGGCCGCGAACTCGGCGACGCCCTCGGCGTACGACGCGCCGATGCCCTCGGCGTAGCGCGTGGCGACGCCCTCGGTGCAGCGCGCGGCGACGCCCTCGTAGCGTGCGACGACACTGGCGCTGCGCGCCGTGGCGGACGAGCTGTCGGCGGCGCCGCCCGCAGCGGCTGCAGCGGCTGCGACAGCGGCGCGGGCCGCATGGTTCGCAGCTCGACGCGCGCGCGCGCGTGGCGCCGTCGCTACGGCCGTGCGACGCCGTCGACCTGGGCGCGGGCGGCGTCGCGGTCGCGGCGGCGGCGCTCGCGTTCTCGCTGGCCGCGCAAGCGTTCGAGGCGGCGCCCGCGGCGCTCACGCGGACCGCGGCGGCGGCGCAGACCACAGCCGACGCGGCGACGGAGCGGGCACGCGGCTGCGCCGCGACCGCGCGCGGCTACTCGGGCGACGCGAACCGACGCGGGCCGCGCGCGGCGCGGCGCGTGGCCGCGGCGCCTCCATGATCTTCGACGGCGGCGACGGCGGCGGCGACGGCGGGCGCCCCCGCGTGCTTCGTGGCGAGACGGACCGCGCTCGCGCAGCACGACATCTTCGCGCGCGCGTCCAGCGTCCCGAACGGCCGAAACGGAAGCGTCCGACTTTTTTTGCCACAAGAACGACTCACAAGGAACGATCTGGCAGTTGAAGACTCTTCCGAGGCCTGGGCCATCGAGAGTCACATCTCGCTCGTCATCGTCGCTGTGGTCGTGCGCCGGCGTGGGGCGCCGAGGGGCGCCTGGGGGGGGGGTCTTGAAGGGCAATGGGACCCATTCTCATGTGACACAGGTCAAGAGACCACACCTCTTCGCGCTGTTCGCGCCGCTGCGCCCCCCGATAGGCCTCTCGACGCGTCTGTTGACACACGGCGCGACGCCTGCGCCCTTGGGGTTATTTCGTGTCGCCCCCGATCCCGGGAATCGCAATACTTTGACCCGTAGGCGGACGCTCAACCCGACGTCGAGATGACGGAGGACTCCGCGCGCAAGCGCAAGGCGTTTCGGGACAGCTTGACGCAGAACGAGGCCGACGAGTTTTCGAAGGACGGAGCGCGCGAGCCGCGCAAGGACGCTCCCCCGTCGCCGGCGCCATGCGGGGGCACGACCGCGGCGTGGAAGCCGCCGGGCGGCTCGGAGCACGACTCGCTCGCGGACGCGTCGTACGGCGTCGGCGACGCCGCGGGGCACGGGTCCCGGGCGTCGAAGCGCGCGAAGCTTGATGCCGGCGACGGCGAGGGAGCCGTCGCCCCCGACGACGGCGACGCGCGCGGGTCGCGCGTCGCCGTCATCGGCGCTTCCGCTTCCGCTCCCGCTCCGGGCGCGCGCGCGCCCGTGCCCGCGCCCGGGCCCGCGCCCCCGTCCGTGCCCGCGCCCACCGCCGGCGGCGACGAGCAGCGCTCCCGCGTGGCCCGCGGCGCGGGCTCGAAGAAGCCGGGCCGCGGCCTCCCGCCGCCGGCCGCGGCCGTGCCGGCCACGACGGGCGAGGCCCTCGCGTCCGAGGCCAAGGGCCCCGCGGCGCCCGCGCCGGCCGACGCGCCGGCCGACGCGCCGGCCGACGCGCCGGCCGACGCGCCGGCCGCGCCCGCGCTCGAGGCCGCCGCCCCGCTGAAGCGGCCCCGCGCGAAGGGCGCCGCGGCGGGCCCGCGCGGCGGCGTCGCGAAGCGGCCCCGCCGCGGCGGGGACGCGGCCGCCGCGCCGCCGTCGGCCGCGCCGCCGGCGGCGGCCGCGGCCCCGTCGGCCGTCGACGCGGGGGGCGCCGCGGCCCAGGCCCAGGCGGGCGGCGCCCCGCCGTGGCGCAAGGGCAAGTGGACCGCGGAGGAGAAGGACTTCACGGCGGCCTTCATCCGCGAGTTTGACCGGGGCATGCTCAACTGCCCGCGGGGCACGTCGCTCCGGCCCTACCTGAGCGAGAAGCTCCACCGCGCCCCCGTAGTCATCACGCAAAAGTTCAAGGACGACGCGTCCTTCCGGAAGCGCGTGTTCGGCGACGCGGTCATGGGGAAGCGGGTCTTCACGCCCTGCGATCAGACGCCTCAGAACGTCGCGGAGGCGCTCGGCGTCCGGTCCAAGCTCCGCGAGCTGGAGCAGCGCTTCGCGAGCGCCGCGGCGAGCGCCGCGGCGAGCGCCTCGTCCACGGGGGGCGGCGACTGGGCGGAGCACGAGAACCGGACGCTCTTCGACCTCCAGCGGCAGCACGGCAACAAGTGGACGTTGATCGAGAAGTCCCTGCCGGGTCGGACCGTGTCGGCCGTCAAGGGCCGCTGGATCAATCCCGAGATGCAGCGCTGGATCGCCGCGCTCTCCGCGCCGCCGCCGCCGCCGACGGCCGCGCGCCTGCGCTACACGGCCGCGCTGGACGTGCTGAACGAGCTCGGCGAGGACGGCTTCGAGGCCGCGGCGGCCGCGTTCGGCGACGGCGCGAACCCGAGCGACGCGGTCGTCACGGAGGCCGCGCCGCCGCCGCCTGAGGCCGCGCCCGCGCCCGAGCGCGTCGCGGCCGACGGCGCGCCCGAGCCGCCGTCCGTCGCGACGTCCGAGGGCGAGGGCCCCGCCGACGCCGCGCCGCGGCTCGTGGCGCACGAGGCGCTCGCCGCGGACGGCGGCGCGTCCACGGTCCAGGCGACGTCGCCCGTCGTCGACGCGCTCGCGGCGGACGGCGGCGGGACGCCGGCCGCGGCTCCGGCCGCGCGCCGCGAGGGCGAGTGGGGCGACGACGAGAAGGCGACGTTCCTCGACTGGTCGCTGAGCGGCGGCTGGGGCGACTGGTTCGGGCTGTCGACGAAGATGATGGGCTCGCGCTCTAACCTGCAGATCAGAGACTTCGCGGTGGTTTTTACGCAGCGAAACTCCGTCGCCGCGGCTACGCTCAAGGCCAAGGCGGCGCGGCGCGCGCTCGCGGCGCTCGGCGTCGCCGACGCGGAGGTCGCCGCGCTTTCGGCCGCGCAGCTGCCGGAGGCTTTGGCCGAGGCCGAGGCGCGCGCCGCGCTCGCGGCGCTCGGCTTCGACGCCGCGGAGATCGCCGAGCTTTCGGCCGCGGAGCTGCCGGAGGCTTTGGCCGAGGCCAAGGAGCGCGCCGCGCTCACGGCGCTCGGTGTCGCCGACGCGACCGTCGCCGAGCTTTCGGCCGCGCAGCTGCCGGAGGCGTTGGCCGAGGCCGAGGCGCGCGCCGCCGCGGCCAAGGCGGCGAAGCGCGAGGCCAAGGCCAACGGCGCGGCGGAGGGCCCCAAGTCCCACAGCAAGTTTTCGGGAATGACGACGACCGCGGCCCTGCAATACGCCGGCGACAGATTCGGCATCGGCCGCGAGGGCGGCCTGGGCTACGTGATGACGGAGAAGCGCGCGCACTTCAAGCCCTTCTCCACCGGCACGGGCACGTCCAAGGGCGTGAAGTACCTGCGCGCCTGCACGTTCGAGGAGCGCGGCGACAAGTACGTCGCCGCGGCCGCGACCATGAGCGAGCACGCGCTGGGCTGCATCGCCGAGGCCTGCGAGCACGCCCTCCCCGAGCACGTCTTCCAGCGCGTCTCGTCGACCTCGGAGTGCGACCTCAACCGCTGGGGAAACGTGAGCACCCACCGGAAAACGGGCCAGAAGTCGAACAAGGTCAACTTCGGCAAGCCCGGCCACTTCAAGTCGCAGCGGGACGGCGCGGAGGCGCTCCCGCCCGACGTCCACGCGGCCATCTCCACGCTCGCCGGCGAACTGACGTCGCGTTTCCGGCCGAGGCCCGGCGGCGTCTACGCCGCGTCCGAGAAGTCGCACGCGAAGATCTTCGTGATGGCGCCCGGCGCGAAGCGCGCCGTGACGCTCGACCAGCACCGCGACTGCATCGCGGCGTCGAACGAGGCCGTGCCTTCGCTTGCGACCCACGCGACGATCTCCTACGCGACGCTGGACCCCGACACGCGGAAGCTCGTGCCCATCTCCGAGGAGCGGGCCGCGCAGCTCGAGCTCGAGCTCGTGAACGTCTCCGGCGTCAGCTTCAAGGCGAAGCACCTCGATCCGAAGTCGGAGCTGGGCTACGCGCGCATGGACAAGGCGTCGGAGATCGTCATCCGCGTCGGCCACAAGGCGAGCTACGCCTTCGACGGCCTCGCGAACGCCGCGTTCCTCCACGAGGTGGCCAACGCCGAGAACCCCATACCGGGCTTGTACCGCATCACGCACGTGAGCTTCATGCAGGCCAACTAAAGCCTCGTCGCGCCCAAGGACACGCGCGGCGCGCGGCTCCTCGGAGTCCGTCGTCGCGCCCAGCTAGACCCGCCGCGGATGGCCCGGCGGGTCTGGACACTTCAAAGTTTTTTCGACGCGTGACCTTCGGCCGTACTGAACGCGCTCGCCTAGGTCAGGGGAGAGAGCCACATGCCTCCCTTCAAAGACTAGGGCGCGTGGCCACTAAGAAGAACTCGCTGTTATGACGGGCCTACACATAGGACCTCGCTACCCGGTCGGCTCCCGCGTCCCGCGGACGCGTCCGGCGCGCCCCTTCTCGAAGCCATGTGTAGGTTCGTCACCGAGTCCGTCGCGCCCAAGGACACGCGCGCACGCGGCTCCTCGGAGTCGGCCGTCGCGCCCACTGCACTGCTACATTGAACGGAGCCCCGGCCACTGGCAGCGCCGGCGACTCGGAGATCTCGGTCCACGCCCTCGACACGAGCTCGAAGACCCGAACCTCCAAATAACCTCGATTTCTTAACTCCGCCAGTCCATCGGGTCGTCGTCCTCGTAGACGCAGGGCCCCTTCATAGGCAGGGGGGGCTTATGGGGGTTCGTGGGGTACCTTGGAGCCTCCTTGGCGAGCTGAGCCAGGTGGCGGCCGGAGGCCGCCCCCTAGCCGTCGCGGCGGAGGTTGGTCGTGAGGGTGGCGAGGGTGTCCATTCGGCAGCAGTAGCGCAAACATCAACGCTCTCGGCGAGGTGGAGGGCGTCTTGCAGCCACTCGACAACCTCCACGATGAGCGCCCCCAAGAAGGCGCGCATCGAGCCGCCGCCGGCGCGGTCCGGCGGCCTGTCGCTCCTCGAGAACTTGACGGCCAAGTCGAGCAGCCTCACGAGCGACATGCGCCAGCACAAGCGCGAGGTCGCCGCCAAGGAGGGCGCCGAGAAGGCCCGGGCCGAGAGCGTGCTGCGCGGCGTGCCCATCGTCGGCGCGATCGCGAGGAGCCTCGGCGCCGCGCGGGCGCGGCTCCGCGACGACCCCGGCGCCGTGCCGGGCGGCGCGGCCGTCGAGGTCGAGGCGCGGCTCGGCGTCGCGTGCGAGCGCTACGCGGCGCTCGGCGGCGGCGACGACGGCGCGGGCCGGCGCTACGTGGCGTCGCGGCGGGGCTGCGGCGCCGTGCCCCTGGACGGGTGCGACGCCAAGTTCTGCCCCGGCGTGAGCGAGATCGCGTTCCGCGACGTCGCCGAGAATTTGCGGCGCTACGCGGGCAAGCGGCGCGCGCCGCTCGCGGTGGCCGAGACCGTCGAGTCGACCTTCGGCAGCGACGAGTCGCCCTACCGCCTCGTCGTCGCGGCCGGGTCGAAGAGACTGGAAAAGAAGGCCGCCGTCGACGTCTTCGACTTCGCGTTCCCGTCCGCGTCCTACGACCTCCGGCTGCAGACCGCGGGCGAGGCGCCCGCGCCCTGGGACGCGCAGCACCTGCCGCGGCCGGAGAAGCCCGCGTGGACCTGGCGCCGCGTGAAGAAGCGCTGCTCCTACGTCGTCCAGTCCGGCCCGCTCGCCGCGTGGCGCGTCGACTGCACCGAGGTCACGTCGCTCGCTTATCCGGTGGACGCGTTGACGACGGACATGGCGCTGGGCCTCGGCGGCGCGGGCGGCGCCGTGCCGGGCACGCCGGGCCCCGCGACGACGACCGTGACGCACGAGGTCGAGGTCGAGCTCGCGCGCGAGGCGACGGCGCGGTGGCTCGCGTCCAGCGCGGGCGGCGGCGAGGACGCGGAGTCGCGCGCGCTCGCGGAGAGCCTGGTGCAGCTCTTCGCCGTGCTCGCGCCCATCGAGCGCTGCGACTCGCGGCCGAAGCCGAGCTGCGCCGCGTCGCCGACCGCGCGCCAGGCGGCCAAGGACGCGCTCCGGGCCGTCGCCGCGGGCGCGCGGCGGTCCTTCCCGGGGTCCATGCCCTGCGGCTTCGCGCGGCGCCACGTGACGATGATCCAGCGCGAGCCCTACTTCGTCGCGGAGAAGTCCGACGGCGAGCGGCGGCTTTTAGTCGGCGTCGACGACGGCGCGCGGCGCGGCGCCGCGCTCGTCGACCGCAAGGCGCAGGTCGAGACCGTGCGGCTCCACGGCGCGGCGCTGGCGGGCCTGCCGCCGGGCGCCATCCTCGACGGCGAGGTCGTGCAGAACCTGGCCACGGGCGCGCCCGCGTTCCTCGTCTTCGACGTCCTCCACGACGGGCGGCGCGACGTCTCGGGCCTCGACTTCGAGGAGCGCTTCTTCGGGTCGCTCGCGGGGCCGCTGCGCGGTTGCCTCGCCGTGCCCTGCCCGGGCCGCGACGGCGAGCCGGGCGCCGTGTCGCCCGAGGACGAGGACCGCGCCTTCGCGGACTTTGGGACCGACGCCGCGGAGCCGCCGGCGGAATTGGCGGAGCTGCCCGTGCTCCGCGTCGTGCCCAAGCGCTTCGTGCCGCCGAAGCGCATCGGCGCGGCGGTCCTCGCCCGCGTGTCCCGCGACGACGACGTCAACGGCGCCGTCCGCTACGGCGCGCGCGTCTACCGCGACGGCGCCGCGCGGTTCCACCTCAGCGACGGCCTCGTCTTCGTGCCGGGCGGGCCCTACGTCGCGGGCACGGACCCCAAGCTCCTCAAGTGGAAGTGGACCGACGGCCTCACGGTAGACCTCGAGGTGCGGGGCGCGGGCAAGGGCGGCGACCTGTCCTTCTTCGCCGTCGACGACGACGGCGACGCCGTCGACTGCTCGAAGCACGTCGCGCTCCCGGAGCACGACGCCGCGCGGCTCCGCGCGGACGTCAAGGCGACGCCCAAGGGCACGGCGACGGTCGCCGAGCTCGGCCTCCACGCCGAGTCGGGCCTCTGGGAGTACCACGGCTTCCGCCCGGACAAGGCCACGGGCAACCACTTCGACGTCTTCCTCTCGACGCTCCTCCTCCACGCCGAGTCGCCGAGCGAGCACGAGCTCGAGTACCGCCTCCGCACGGACGACCCGACCAAGGACGACTTCGCCAAGCGCATGGACGCCGCGACGCGCGCCGCGTGCTCGCCCTGGCAGGAGCACTTCTCCAAGTCCAACAACCGGCCCTACTGGTGGAACTCGACGACGAACCAGAAGACCTGGGAGAAGCCGCCGGGCGTCTAAGTACCGTTCGCGTCGACCCGCGGCGTTCTTTTTGGTGGCTAGGAGACGCGGCTCCGTCCTTTCACGGTCACGTTGCCGGTAGCTTGAAGAATTCAACGAGCCGCAAATCGATCGGGCGAGCGCAAGCATGACAGTGTGCTAACCGCTGTGCTTGCTTGTCACTGCTAACCTGCGCTGCGCTGCATTGCTCAGTCGCCGCTTGAGTGCCTTTAAAAATGCTGCCTCACGCCGGCCGCGATCGGCCGTGTCTCGTCGACATACCGCATGCGAAGGCGCTGCCATCGAGCCCCGCCGCCGTCGCGGCGCTGGATCCGGAGCGCCTCGTGAGCCTGTCGTTCGGCGTCGAGGAGCGCAGCGGCTTCTCGTTCAAACAGGACGTCCAGCTCGGCGAGTACTGCAGGAGTCTCGCGCGACCCGGCGCCGGCTACCTCAAGCAGCTCCCGCTGGCGCCGCTGTCGCCGTGGCGCTACGCCGAGGACGGGGAGCCGTGGAGCGGCCGCCGCTGCGCCGCGGCCGCCGCCGTCGCCGCCGGCGCCGTCGCCGTCGCCGCGCGACGGAGCGGGCCCGCGGCCGCCGCCGCCGTCGCCGCGGCGGCCGCCGCGGCCGCCGCCGCCGCCGCGCGGCGCTGGCTCTTCGAGACGCCCTACCTCTGGGTCGGCGGCGCGGGCTCGAACGCGACGGGCCTCCACAGCGACGACGAGGACAACGTCCTGATCGTCACGCACGGCCTGAAGCGCGTCGAGCTCTACGCGCCGTCGGCGCGGCCGCACCTCCACGCGAACGCGAAATACGACTCGGGCACGGAGTGCTGCGACCTCGACATGTCGCTCGACGAGGCGGGCAAGGCGCGAAAATTCCCGCGCTACGCGGGCTGCGCGCCGCCGCTCGCCTTCGCCCTCCCGGCCGGGTCCGCGCTCTTCATCCCCGCGGACTGGTACCACGCCGTCACCTCGCCGGGCATCTCCGTGTCGGTCAACGTCTTCTTCTCGACGCCGCTCCAGCTGCTCCGGCGCGGGCCCAAGCGCGCGCTCCTCGAGTTCTGCCACGCGCGCCTGGGGCTCTGGCGGCGGAACTGCGTCTGCCACTAACGCGCGCGCGGACGACTCACAGCAGCTCTTCCACGCGCGGCGCGGCCGCGGGCCGGCCCCGGGGCTTCGGCGCCTTCTGCCGCGCGCGCGAGCGCGGCGCGTGGTTCGGGTCCGGCTCGGGCGGGAGGTCGAACTCGTTCTGGTCCGCGAGGATCATCTCCGCGCGGCCGATCTTCGTGCGGTGGATCTTCTTGCCGCCGACGGGCTCGTGGAGGACGACGTTCTCGAGGAACATGTGGACGTGGCCGTCGACGCGGTTGCGGCTCTCGATGGTGCCCGTGAGCTCGCAGGAGGGCTCGGCGACGAGGCCCAGGGAGTCGGCCTTCTTCTTGTCCCGGGGCATGGGCAGCATGTAGTCCGGGGGCTTCTTCAGCGCCTCGTTGAACGTCTTCTCGAAGTGGACGTAGATCGCGCGCGCCTCGACCTCGCTGACCTCGCCGCGCGCCACGAAGTCGTCGAGCGTCGAGAGGAGCGTCTTGCCGAAGACCGTCTCCGCGGCCCAGATGCAGTCGTGGCCCGTCGGGAGCTCCGTGTCCCACGGGCTCTCGGGCGCGCCGCCGTCGCCCGCGGGCGCGGGCGCCGCCCCCGGGGCCGCCGCCGGCGCCGCGGCCGGCGCCGGCGCCGCGCCGCCGCCCTCGGCGAGGCACGCGTCGACGGCGTCGAGCTCCGCGAAGTTGACCGCGCGCAGCGCGTCCTCGATCCCGGTCCCCCGGCTCGCCGCGCGCCGCCGCGCCGCCGCCGCGAGCGTCGCCGAGAGCCCGCCGTCGTCGCCGCCGTCGTCGCCGCCGCCGACGAGCGCCTCGAGCGCGGCGAGGCCGCCATTCCCACCGGCGGAGCTCTCGCCGTCGTCGTCGACGAGCGCCTCCAGCGCGGCGAGGCCGCCATTCCCACCGGTGGAGCTCTCGTCGTCGTCGTCGACGAGCGCCTCCAGCGCGGCGAGGCCGCCATTCCCACCGGCGGAGCTCTCGCCGTCGTCGTCGACGAGCGCCTCCAGCGCGGCGAGGCCGCCGCCGCAGCCGCCGGAGCTCTCGTCGTCGTCGCCGACGAGCGCCTCGAGCGCGGCGACGCCGCCGCCGCCGCCGCCGCCGGAGCTCTCGTCGTCGTCGTCGACGAGCGCCTCGAGCGCGGCGACGCCGCCGCCGGCGGCGGCGGCGGAACTCTCATCGTCGTCGTCGACGAGCGCCTCGAGCGCGGCGACGCCGCCGCCTGCAGCGGCCGCCTCATCCCTGCTCCGCTTCTCGCCTACCCGCACGTCGGCCGCGCCGTCGTCGGAGTCGGACTCGTCGAGGTCGCGCCGGTACGTTCGCGGCGCTTCCTCCTCGTCATCGCTGCTGGAGAGGCCGGCGAGAGCGTTCGCGAGCGCGTCGGTCATCGTTCGCGGTCGCCTCTAGCACAATGTCATGCTCATTGCGAAGCGGTTCACCATCTGTTCACCTTAGACCCGGACCTTACCTTGAACTCCGAAAACACGATGGCATCCACCCACTTGCTGCCCCTCCTCCTCGTTCCGCTGCTGGCGAGCGCCTGGGAGCATCGCCCCCTGTCGGAGCTCATCGGGCGGGAGTGGGGACGGACGGAGCTGGACCTCTTTTCCGGCATCGGCTGCGACGACGGCGCACCGGCGTGGACGACGCGGTCCGACGAAGCGGTCTACACCGAGGCGCTCGCGCGCCTCGGCGCGCCCGACGCGCTCGCCGCGGCGTTCGCCGCCGCGCACGCGGCGGGCGCGCCTCCCGGCGCCGCCGAAGTCCGCGACGCCGCGGGGCGAGTAGACGCGACGACGACGCCGACGACGGCCGCGGAAGTCCGCGCGGCGCTCGGCGCGGGCCGGAGCCTGATCCTCCGCTTCGAGCGCTGGTTCGACGTCGGCGACGCCGCCGGCTGGGCCCGCGCCGTCGGCGACGGCGACGCGGCCGCCGCGGCCGCCGCGCTCGTGGCGAGCGCGCGGCTACGTTTCGGCGCGGCCGCGACGGTGCACCTCTACGCGTCCGGCGCCGGCGGCCGCGCGCTGCCCGCGCACTCGGACATCGGCGACGTCGTCGCCATGCAGCTCGACGGCGAGAAGCGGTGGACGCTCTGCGCGCCGGCGCTGTCGGACGCCGACGCCGCCGAGGTCCTGGGCCTCGACCCCGGCGCGCGCCTCACGCCCGCGGCGCGCGCCGAGGTCGCGGCGCTCCTCTCCGAGGGCCGCGGCGCCTGCGGGTCCTTCGACAGCGTCGACGCCGAGGGCGGCGCCTGCGAGACGTCCGTGCTCCGCGTCGGCGACGCGCTCTACGTGCCCAAGGGCGTCGTCCACGCGGCGGCCAACGCCGAGGGCGCCGCCTCCGTGCACCTCACCGTGGGCTTCGCGCAGCGCGTGCCCGCGCGCGACGCCCTCCGGCGGCGCCTCGCGGCGACGAACGGCTCGACCTGGGCGCCGACGGCGACGGCGCGCCCGTCGCCGCTCCCGACGCCCGCGCCGTCGTCCCTGCCCACGGCGTCGTCCGCGCCCACGCGGCATCCCACGCCCGCGCCGTCGTCCCCGCCCACGGCGACGCCCGCGCCCACGGACCTCCGGAGCCGCGACGAGGTCTCCTGCTCCGAGGACGGCGAATCGAAGGTCTGCACGTCGAGCTGCGACCACTACTCGAAGTGGTGCTCCAAAGGCGAAGGGACCTGCGGCGACATGCCAGGCGAGCGGCGACTTACGAGGTGCACATACCCACCCTGCAAAGCGAGCGAGTGCGCGGCCCTCGCCGACGACATGCCCCCGGGGTCCTGGGCCTACTGCGCGCAAGACTGGCAAAACCCCGACTACGACCGCGACGACGAGTACCTCTCCGGCGTTCGTGAAGCGTTCCATCCACTGTCGTTGTCACCCGTATCCTGCGCCGAACAGGTCCTGCTGCGACATCTACGAGCTCACGCAGTGCGACGACGGCTGCACGTGCGAGAAGAACGACGGCGACAGCGCGGCGCTCAGGTTCCTCGTGGTCCTCCTTCCCTTGATCTTCTGCTCGTGCTTGGCGGGCGGCTCCGGCCTCTGGTGGAGACAGAGGCGCATGGCCGCCGCCAACGGGGGGGCGGCCCAGCCGCCGGCCAATCGATACGCCTACGGCGCGCAGCCGCCGGTCGTCTACGGCGCGCAGCCGCAGGGCTACGCGCAGCCGCAGGGCTACGCGCAGCCGCAGGGCTACGCGCGGCCGCAGGGCTACGCGCAGCCGCAGGGCTACGCGCAGCCGCAGGGCTACGCGCAGCCGCAGGGCTACGCGCAGCCACAGGGCTACGCGCAGCCGCCGGTCGTCCAGGGCGCCGTCGTCCAGATGGTACCCGTCGCCCCGGTGCAATACTAGGCCCGGCACCGACCTCGGCGCGAAAGACGAGTTAGCGGCGCCCCGGCCGCCTAGGGCTTCGACCGCTTTGCGGCGTCGCGGTTCGAGTCGCGGAGGCGGCGGCCGCGGAAGATGAAGGACACGGGCGTGCCCGCGAAGTTGAGGCTCTCGCGGAGCTTGCGCTCGAGGTAGCGCTTGTAGTTGTCCGTGAACGCGGTGGGGCTGTTGCACATGGCGACGATGGTCGGCGGCGCGACGGCGGTCTGGGAGACGAAGTAGATCTTGGCGCCGGCCTTGCCGCCCGCGGACGCCGGCGGCGGCTGCCAGAGCATCGCGTCGCGGATCACCTCGTTCAACGTCGCGGTCGCGACCCGGCGGCGGTGCGCGTCGACGGCGCGCTGGAGCGCGGCGTAGACCTTGAGGCAGCGCTGGCCCGTCTTCGCCGAGAGGAAGACGACCTCGGCCCAGGACACGGCCGTGAGCGTCTCCTTGATCTTCTTCTCGACGGCGCGCGTCGACGCCTCGTCCTTGTCCTCGTACGCGTCCCACTTGTTCGCGAGGACCACGCACGCCCGCCCGTCGTCTGCGACGCGCTGCGCCAAAGCCGCGTCCTGGTCGCTCAACTCCTGCGTCGCGTCGACGACGAGCAGGACGACGTCCGCGAGCCGCGCGGTCCGCAGCGCGCGCGCGACCATCTCCGGCTCCGTGCCCTGCTTCGTCACGCGCGCCTTGCGCCGCACGCCCGCCGTGTCCACGAAGCGGAAGATCGTGCCGTCGACGTCGAGCTCCGCGTCGACGGCGTCGCGCGTCGTGCCCGCGACGTCGCTGACGATCGCGCGCGTTTCTCCCGGCCCCAAGAACCGGTTCAGGAGGCTCGACTTGCCGACGTTCGGCCGCCCGAGGAAGCAGACGTTGACGTGGGGCTTGGCGTCGATGGCGTCCATGGTCTTGATCTGCGCCGCCTTGGCCTCGATGGACGCGTCGAGCGCCGGGAGCAGCGCGTCGAGCACCTCGGCGACGCCGTTGCCGTGGATCGCCGAGCATGCGCGCGGCTCGCCTAAACCCAGCGGCCAGAAGTCGGCGACGAGCTCGGCCTCGCGCTCCGCGCTCTCGCACTTGTTCACGGCGAGCACGACCTCGAGTGTTTGGTCGGGCCACCGGCGCAGGAACCGCGCGATGTCGTCGTCGAGCCGCGTGGAACCCGCGCGGCCGTCCACGACGACGACGCACGCGCAGGCCTCGCGCAGCGCGAGCGTCGCCTGCTCCCGGATCTCGTCGAGGAAGAGGGCGCCCTCCTCGTCCTCGAAGAGCAGGCCCCCCGTGTCGACGACGTCGAACGTCCGGCCGCACCACTCGGCCTTCTGGTAGACGCGGTCGCGCGTCACGCCGGCCTCGTTCACGGCGATGGTCCCCTTCTTCCCGGCGTCGCAGAGCCGGTTCACGAGGCTCGACTTGCCCACGTTCGGCCGCCCGATGATCGCCACGGTCGGGCGCGCGCCGCGCGGCACGCGCTTCAGGCGCTTGGGGGCGCCGCTCGACGACGACGCGCCGAAGGCCGCCTCGGGCGCCTCCGTGTCGTCGATGGTCGCGCCGAGGCGCGACGGCCGCCGGAGCGCCGGTGCCCGCCCGCCGGGGCGCCAGGCCCCGGCGCCGTAGGCCAAAACTGCCAGGAGCAGCGGCCTCAACCACCCCATCGCCTCCTTCTAAATTCTTCGCACCGCAACACGACGGCACTCATGACTTCAACCGCAGCGGTTCCCGCCGGAGGTCCGCCCAAGTCCGCCCCGCGCCGCCATTACTCGCCGCGCGTCTTGCGCGCGCTGCGGACCGTGGCGGACGTGCGCCGGACGCGGGCGCGGTACTGGAAGTGCTCGCCCTCGTGCTGGTGGGACGCGACGACGTCGTGGGACGCGGACTCGTGGAGGATCTGGTTCATGTGCGCCGCGGACGCGAGGGGCGCCTTGACGCCGCCCATCATGGAGCTGTGGATGGCCGCGCGTTTTTGCGCCGGCGCGCGGCGCCCGCCGGCGCCCGTCGTCGACGACGCGTCGATCTCGAGGAGCACGTTGCTCGGCGCGTCGGGCCGCGTCGGCGGGCTCGGCAGGTTCGACGTGTTCTTGTGCAGGATCGTCGACAGCGCCGACATGCGCCGCGTGTCGCGGCGCTCGTTCTCCTCCTTCTTCTTCGAGAGCGCGCGGTGGAGCGAGTGGCGCAGGCTGTTGTCGCCGTGCGCGTGCGCGTTGTCGTGCATCGCGTGCCTGCGTAGTGATTATAATTGCCCAACGTATATATCATAAACGATGCGAGCCATTCGTTCGGAGACGACGGTCCTTCGACGTAGACGCGCGGTCGCGACGCGACGCCGCGCGCGTCGAGCACTCGCCGAGCGACGACGCCTCGTCCGCGACCGTCGGCCGGAACGACGTCGACGCGACGGAGCTCGAGACGCGCGGCCGGGACGCCCCGGACCATTTTTCGGCGCGGCCGCGCGCCTCCCGAGGCGGTGCGTCGGGCCGAGCTCGATGGACAGGAGCTGGAAGAGGGGCGTCAGGGCGTCCTCCGGGTCCACGTAGTCCGGGTGGACGACCTTGGCGTCGACGCCGCGGTACGCGCGGGAGATGTCGAGGTGCTTGAGCCACGTCTGCCGCTGCCGCGCGAGCTTGTGCAGGTAGTCCGCGATCTCCGGGAACTCGTCGCAGACCTCCGTGAAGACGTCCTCCTCGACGACGAAGGTCTCGACCATGGTGCAGGCCCGGACCGTGCAGGACCGCTTCGTCTTCAATAGGATCGCGGCCTCGCCGAAGAAGCAGCCGTCGGCGAGGATCCGCACGTCGTCGTCCTCGACGCTCCGCAGGTGCAGCGAGCAGAGGCCCGTGTGGATGAAGAAGACGTGCTTGCCCACGGACCCCTCCTGGACGATGACGTCGCCCGGGAACCACATCGTCGGCGTCAGGTTCACGGCGAGCGCGTCGAAGAAGGCCGTCGTGTGCTCGCGGAAGAGGGGCACCTTGGGGATGAGCTCGCGGCTCGAGCAGCGCCAGACCTCCTTGCGCAGCTCCGGGCTCAGGTTGTCCAAAATCATGGCCTCGTCGTAGAGGCGGCCGTCGTTGTAGCGCAGGTAGTAGTACTCCTTGACCTTGCGGCACACGGACTTGGGGATCTTCTTGCTCCGGAGGAACTCGAGGGTCGTCGACAGCTGCTCCTCGAAGCGCCGGTGCGACATGTTCTGGTTCACGACGATGGCGCTCAGGTTCGAGATGAGGAGCGCGTAGAAGAGCGTGCCGATGTAGAGGCAGAGCAGCGTGATCCACGACTCGACGCGGCACCAGCCCGTCGTCTCCATGCAGATCTGCGACGTCGCCGGGTACTCGTAGGCCACGCTCACGAAGACGAGCAGGATCTTGTGGAGGCACCAGAGGTAGCGGCTCAGCACGTTCATCAGCGGCGTGCCCTCGTGCGTGACGAGGCCCGCGAGCACGACCCACGACGTCCGCGGGAAGCTCCAGAGGCGCACGGCGAAGTAGAGCAGGCAGCCGAGCCAGTGGGCCAGGGTCAGCAGCGTAAAAAAGAGCCAGAACATCTTCGCGAAGGCGTCGCTGATCTTCACGTTGAAGCGGTCGAGCGTGTCGACGAGCGTCGCGCGTAAGTAGCTCAGGAGCTGCGTGCCCCGCAGCATCTTCAGCAGCTTCGTGATGCGGATCATCTTCAGCAGCCGCAGGCCGTTCTTCGACCGCAGCAGGGCCATGTAGTCGCCCTTGGACCGGCTCAGCAGCTCGAGGATGTCCGAGATGGGCACGGACGACACCAGATCCACGAGGAACCAGCCCCGGAGGTACTCCTTGGCGATGCGCTGCCGGTCCATGACCAGGGCCATGTCGCTCGTGAAGTAGCCCACGTTGAAGTGCTTGACGACGTCGAGCATGAACATGGAGTCGAAGACGATGTTCGCGACGATCATCGACGAGTTGATCTCCTCGAACGCGAGCGACATGGGCAGCGTCACGAAGACGATGAAGAGGATGATCATGATGACGATGTCGAAGATCTGCACGTTCGCCGATCCCGGGTCCAGCAGCTCCATGCCCGGGATCCACGACCGCCCGTTGCCGATGACGCGGACGAGCTGCTCCTCGACGCTCAGCTCCTTGAGCCGCCTCGACCTGGGCGGGAAACGAGAGATTCAACGTCGCTGCAACGTGAGTGTTCGGCGCGCGCGCGTTCCGGAAACAAGCATCCACGCTTCGAGACCGTTCCAAGAGATGATCGCTCGTCCAAAAATCAGCCAAAACGAGTGGAAAGCGGCCGAGCTAGGAGCCTTTGAAGTTGGGAATGTCGCTCTCTTTTCCTGCCCTGGCCGCGACGTCATCTCCACGTCCTCGCTGATGTTGATGAGGCGCTGCTCCTCGACGAAGCACGCGAGCTGGACGAACTCGGACACGGGCAGGGCCCGCTGCTCGTCCTCCCAGATGTGCACCTGCGGCGCGGCGTCGCGGCCGCGCGCCGCTCCGGCCGACCCGCGCGACCGCGCGGACGCGCGGCCCCGGGGCGCGGCCGCGCGCCGCGTGGTCCGTGAGCGCCTCGTCGACGAAGCGGGCGGACACGGGCCGCCCGATGCGGTCCATGGCCTCGGTCAGGTCCCCCGTGACCACCCGCGGGAGCTCCCGCTCGTCCTCGAGCTGCTTGAAGATGCGCTTGATCTGCTCCTTGAAGATGTGCATGCGCTCGCTGACGTGCGCGGAGCTCACCTGCGACGGACCACGCGGTCGACCCCCCGTCGGCGAGGGCCGCGTCGCGCGCCGCGGCCGGGCGCCGAAGACGCGCGCGGCCGTGCCCGTGCGGCTCTGCCTCCCTCTGCTGCACGGAGCTCCGCGACGACCGCGGCAGGGCCGGCGCGTTCATGTCCCGGAGGAGGCAGAGCTTCCGGCCCGAATCGTCGACGCCGGGCGCGTCGTCCGCGCGCTCCGACGGCGCGCGCGGCCGGTCGTCGTCGACGGCGGGCGCGTCCTCGTCGGGCTCCTTGATCTCCTCGGACGGCGTCGGGCTCCGGGGCCGCGAAACCGGCGACGCGGCGGGGCTCGGCGGGCTCAGCGCCGGGCTCGCGCTCCGCGCCGGGCTCGGGCTCCGGCTCCGCGGCGGCGGCTCGCGGAAGCCGACGACGCCGCGCGGCCGGTCGCCGGCATCCTCCGCGACGTCGCGGCCGTTGACGTCGTCGGCGACGCGCACGACGGCCCGCAGCGCCTCGACGAGGTCGTCGACCATGGGGCCGACGTCGGCCTCGACGTCCATGCCCTCGTGCCGCCGGAGGAGCGTCTCGGCCTGCGCCGCGGTCCACCGCAGGTTCATGACGTGCGCGCGCAGCGCGCCGCCGAAGGCGCTGCTCGGCAGCGGCGCGCCGCAGGCCTCGGACAGCACGCTCAGGTTGATCGCGTTGCTGTAGTCCGACTCCGTCGGCGACAGGCGCCGCTGCGGCGCCTCGCCGCCGCCGCCGGCGTCGTCGTCGGCCGACGCCTCGTCGCGCCGCGCCTCGTCGGATTCGCCCATGAGCGGTCAGCGCCGCGGCGCCGAGGACGTGCGGCTCACGGCGCCGAAAGGCCGCGCCGGCGGCCCGCCATCTTCTGGGGGCGGGGCAGCTCTCTCTTTTAGGGCAGGGCGAGATGTCTCAAAGCTTTCGAGATTCAACATGAAAAACCAAGGGTCTAATATCGGCGCAAAACGACTCTTCAAGTTTCCGTTGAACCTCGAGTTTACGCGGCCTCGGCCTCGGCCTCGGCCTCGGCCGCGCGCGCGTCGGCCCGCGGCGCGCGCTTCGGCGACGCGTCGCCCCGGTAGAGCCCGCGGCTGTAGCCCGCGACGTCGCTCGCGGAGAAGGGCGTCGTCGAGTTCTTGAGCGCGTCGACGCCGACCTCGACGCCGCGCGTGTCGAGCTCGTGGAGGAACCAGCCCGCGGACCAGGTCGTGCGGAACGTGATGGGCGCCGCGGGTGGCGCCGCGGCCGTGCGCGCTTTGGGCTGGATCGTCCAGTTCCGCGCGAAGCGCACGGGCGCGTCGGCGTCGAGGAGCGCGTCGAAGATGCGCGCGCAGAGCGTCAGGTTGCTCAGGTCCGTGATGACCTTTTGCTGCGCCCGCTCGTCGACGGCCGCGCGGTCGCCGACGTCCCGGAGGATCGCGTCGCGCCGCTCGCGGAAGCCCGCGACGACGCGGCCCGCGGCGAACCGGGGCGACGGGCTCGCGGCGGCGTCGAGGCCCAGCGCCGCGACGGCCGCGTGGAAGCAGCCCGCGATGCAGAGCACCTCGCGGCCCGGCTCGACGACCGCGCGGCGCGGGTTGCCGTCGCCGTCGAGGAGGCCGTGCTCGTCGAGCCAGAGCTGGAGCCGGCGGCGCACCGTCGCGTCCCACGCGGCGACGGCGGCGCGCACGGAGCCGGAGCCGGCGCCGATGGTCCGCCGGCCCTCCAGGTTCCCCAGGGGCTGGAGCCAGGGCGTGAGCCGGTCCGGCCCGTCCGCGTCGAATTTCAGCGACAGCTGCATGGAGCCCTGGCCCACGCTCACGACGCCGCCGGGCTCGTCGGCGACGCCCGGGTGGAGCGCGGCCGCGTAGCGCACCTGGGCAGGACACGGGTGATTCAAGTTCGCTTCAACGTGAGTGTTCCGCGCGCGCGCGTTCCGGAAAAAAGCATCCAGCCTTCGAGACTGTTCCGAAAGATGATCGCTCGTCCAAAAGTCAGCCGAAACGAGTGGAAAACGGCCGAGAGAGGAGCCTTTGAAGTTGGGAATTTCGCTCACTTTTCCTGCCCTGGAACGCACGGCGATCAATTCGTACCAGCACTCGTCGACGTCCGTGAGCTTCTGGAGGCGCCACGACGGGTGCATGGCGTGCACGCGCGTGACGAAGGCCACGGCGGCCTCGAGCGCCCGGCCCTGTGCCGTGCGAAACCAGGAGCCCGTGCCCAGGAAGACGACGGGCCCGCGCGCGGCCGCGACCGTCGAGTAGTTCCGCGGGTCGACGTCGACGACCGTGAACTCCTTGAGGAAGCGGAGCGCGCAGGCCCCCCTCGCGAGGTCCGGGAACGCCACGTCCGCGTCCATGGGCACGGACTCCGTGATCGCGGCGACTCCATGGGCGCGCGTCGCCGCGGAGTCGCCGGCCGCGTCGAGCGGCGGCCCGCCCCAGAGGCACCAGCCCGCGCGGACGCCCGCCGCGTCCGCGAGCGAGCCCGGCGTCACGCTCGCGACGACGGGCCCGCGCCACGCGAGGCCCGTGGCCGCCCAGGACTCGTAGGCGCCGCCGCCGCCGTCGAGGACCACGTCCGCGTAGAGCACGTCGGAGAACCACTCGACGAACGCGTCGAGCGCCGCGCCCCCCTCGCGGAGCGCCTCGCTCAGGGGCTCGCGCTTGCTCGCGATCTCGACGACGGAGACGCCCGCCGCGGGCGAGAAGGCGTAGCGCAGCGCCTTGACCTCGCCCGTGCCGATGTCGAAGACGATGACGCGGTGGTCGTCGCCGTTGAGCGACGCGCCCGCGGAGTCGTCCTCGGTGTAGCAGAGGAACATCTTGGGCCCCTCCGTGAGCACCTCGGCCTGCGCCGCGTTGCAGAAGTCGTAGTTCCGCTCGCCGTAGCGCCGGAAGAAGCCGTCGTCGCGGTTCGCGCGCGCTTCCTGGAGCTTCCGCCGGAGCGTCCGCCGCGCGAGGTAGAGCCGGAGCACGTGGAGGCTCGTGCCCAGGAAGACGGCCAGCGTGAAGACCTCGCAGGCGCGGTCGACGACGGACGACGCGAGCCAGGGCGCGTCCGCGCCCGACGTCTTCCGGATCTTCTTCTCGTAGTAGAAGTCGCGCACGGTCAGGAACGGCCGCCGGATCCGCGGGAAACACAGGTGCGCCGACACGACCTTCAACCAGCTCTGGACAAACAGCAGGAAGATGGTCCAGTTCACGGCGAGCTCCGGCGGCGTGAGGAAGGCGACGCGCGGGAGCAGCGACGACACGTAGACCTGCTTCGCGGCCATCGTCAAGAGTATGGTCAGGTTCACGCCGAGGCGGAACTGGAGCGCGCAGGGGTCGATCCAGTTCGCGACGAGGCTGAGGAGCTGGAAGAGCGCCGTCGGCACGATCACATTGTTCACGATGCCCGTCGGGTCCCGCTCGACGAAGATGAGCACCGCGGCCGTGCGCTCGGGGAACCTTTCGCCGCGCGCCGCGAGCGCTTTCGGCGCCTCCGGGAAGCCCCCCGCGACGCTGTAGACGAAGCAGATGTCGTTCGACGGCAGCAGGTCCGCGCCCGCGGCGACGACGTGCGGCTCGTGGAGCGGCGGCCGCAGCCGCGCGCCGAAGCGCCGGCCCCAGACCTCGACGGGCGGCGACTCGAAGACGACCTGGAGCGCCTGCGTGTCGAAGGGGAAGGTGCGCAGGTCGAAGGGCTGCTTGAAGGTGAACGTGTCCGTGATCTCCAGGGACACGTGGCGCATGCGCTGCGACGCGACGGCCGGCGAGTTCGCCTTGGCGTACTGGCGCGTCGTCGTCTGCTTCGACGCGCCCTTCATGACGTCGCCGGGCCGCGACGACGCCGGCAGCCAGAGCTGGGGCCGGTAGGCGTCCCAGAAGGCCGCGTAGGCCTCGTAGACGCCCTCGTCGACGAGCCACTCCAGGGTCACCGTGAGCTGCGCGGAGAACGAGAGCTTCTGCACGTTGAGGTCGAAGAGCTTCCGCACCTCGACGCGCAGGCTCAGGTCGATCACGTAGCTGTAGCTCGCCGCGTCCGCGGCGATCTTGACCAGGCCGCCCGTCGGCGGCACCGTGCCGCTCAGCAGCGTCTCCAGCGTCACGCGGCTCGGCACCTCCGTGTAGATCTCCGCGTCGAGGCCGCGCGACCCGGCGTAGGCGTCCGACGGCGCCACGGCGAGCTGCGCGTTCGGCAGCACCTTGCCGCGAGACATGCGCACGGACATGGCGCTGCCCGGAACCGAGCTCACGGCGCGCGCAGGACGCGATGCTCACTGCGCGGAGCTCACGGCGCGCGCAGGACGCCAGCAAAACGCGGAGCTCAGAGCTGCGCGGAGCTCACGGTGCGCGCAGGACGCCAGCAACGAAAAACGCATGCATAGCAGCCCGCTGCCGTGTGCAGCGTTGCTGCATCGTGGCGGCACCTCGGACCTGGCGAGCTTGCGGCAGCATGGGCAAGCCCCAATCGTCCTCCGAGGGCGCGCCGGAGTACGTCTTCGACGAGTCGTCGGCGCTGTCGCGGCGCGTCAAGCCCTACGTCTTCACCTACACCATGAATTGCAAGGGCCGCTGGATCGGCCGCAGGCCCGCCGAGATCTTCGCCGCCGAGTTCAAGATGAACCCGGCGTCCTACTACGCCGAGGCCCTCGCCGACGGCCGCATCCTCGTCAATGGCGAGCTCTGCGGCGACGATCTGGTGCTCAAAAACGGCGACGTCCTGGTGCACCGCGCGCACCGCCACGAGCCGCCGGTGCGCGGCGGGCCCATCGCCGTCGTCGGCCTCGACGCGCGCGTGCTCGCCGTCGACAAGCCCGGCACGGTGCCCATGCACCCCTGCGGGTCCTACCACTACAACGCGCTGTCGTCGCTCCTCGCCGAGGACTTCACGCCGCGGTCCTTCGTCGCCGAAAGAGGCGTCGACTTTCGCGCCGCCGAGGCCGCGGCGGCCGCGGGCCTGCGCCAGGTGCACCGCCTCGACCGCCTCACGTCGGGCCTCGTGCTCCTGGCGCGGTCCGCCGAGGCCGCGACGGAGCTCTGCGACTGCATCGGCGCGGGTAGAGCGCGGAAGACGTACGTCGCGCGCGTCGCCGGCCGCTTCCCGGAGCGCGCGCCCGCGGCGACGCGCGGCCCGGACGCGGCGCGGCCCGACGAGGACGTCGACGACGACCAGCCGGCGAAGCGGCGCCGGCCCCGCGAGAGCGCCGTCGCGGCCGCGTCGGCGCGGCGCGACGGCCGCTGGCGCGTCGTGAGGAGCGACGGGTCCGTCGAGGTCGACTGCTCCACGCGCACCAAGTGCCACCGGGACGGCGTCTGCGAGTGCGCGCCGGGCGGCGCCGACGCCAAGGCGTCGCGGACGCGCTTCCGGCTCCTCCACCGCCACGCCGACGGCACGTCGACGGTCGAGTGCCACCCGCGGACGGGCCGCACGCACCAGATCCGGCTCCACCTCCAGTGGCTCGGCCACCCCATCGCCAACGACCCCAACTACGGCGGCACGCTCGGCTACGGCGACTCGTCCTACGCGGGCGCGCCGCCGGCGAACGCGCCCCCGGCGTGCCCGGTCGCGGACCGCGGCGGGCCCCGAAGGCCCGGCGAGAACCTCGAGGCCTTCGTCGCGCGCAAGTGCCACCGCTGCGCCGCGGGCCTCGACGCGGCGCACGGCGCCGAGGAGCGCGCGACCTGCATCTTCCTCCACGCGCTCAGATACGCGGGGCCGGGCTGGGCCTACGAGACGAACCTCCCGGCCTGGGCGACGGACGGCGCGCTCCCGCCGGAGCCGGAGCCGGAGAAGCGCGGCTGCTGCGTGTCGTAAGCGTGAAGCGGCCGGAGAGCCCGTCGGGAGGCGGTGCGCATGCAGGACTCATCACTGAGGAGTACCCCCGGCGGCGCCGCGGCGGGGCGCGAGGCCTGGAGGAGCCGGTACCGCGGTGCCTCACGATGACGCCTTGTTGTTGAGCGCGCGCGACCACCAGAGCACGCAAGCCACTCGCGCCGACGCGCCGATTTGCCGCGCCGCCATCGCGCGCCACACGCCATGAGTTGCCTCGGCAAGATCGACTGCTTCGCGCCGAAGCCGTCGGCGTCGGCCATGGAGGACGTGGACCTCGACGAGGACCTGGAGGCCGGCGACGGGTCGCCGGCGTCGGAGCCGGCGTCGCCGCTGCCGGCGGAGCCCTACCTCGAGCCGCGCGAGAGCGACGCGCTCGTCGCGCGCGAGCCGCGGACACTCGCGACGATGGCGCGGTCGACGGCGAACTTCTCCATGTTCGCGACGATGATGTTCTGGCGCTTCGCGGCGTCGATCATGCTGCAGTGCTTCGTGCTCTTCCTGCGGTCGCTGCGCCTCGTCCACTCGATCGCGGCCGCGCCGCTGGGCAGGGCGCTGGCGCCCGCGCCCGACGCGCCGCCGCCGCCGCCGCGGCCGAAGCGGACGCCGGGCTGGGTGAAGAAGGAGGTCGCGCGGCGCGAGAGCCGGTCGCCCGAGCGCGACGTCGAGGCCGTCGACTGACGCGCGCCGTAAAAACGCGCGCGCGAGCGTCGGTCGAATTACGGGGGGGGGTCTACTTGTGGGCGTCGTCCGTCTCGCCGGTGATCGTGTAGTAGCGCTCGGCGAGGTACTGGATGAAGGCGCCCGTGGACCAGGTGACGCGGTAGGGCTGCTTGCGGACGAGCCACTCGCGCGCGAAGAGGAGCTTGACGTGGCTCGGGTCGTCGGAGAGGAGGTAGTCGAGGCACTTCAGGAAGCGGACGCCGTTGGCGCGGTCCATGGCCTTGGCCGCCGGGTCGTTGACGAGCTTCATGACGCGGGGCCGCACGTCGGCCTCGTAGGCGAGGTACTTGGGCGGGTCCTTGCGGCCGATGACGTTCGCGGCGACGGCGATGTAGAAGAAGCCCGAGGAGCAGATCATGCGCAGCTCCTTGTTCTTGTTGCGCCCGCCCGGCGGGTGGCTCCGCGCGATGCGGTTCCGCATGGGCTCGAAGGGCTGGGCGACGGCGTCCTTGACGCGCGCGCGCCACGCGTCGACGGCGGCCGGCGCGTCCGACGACTCCGTCAGCCGCTGCGTGCCCTCGCCGAGGGGCACGCGCGCGCTCAGGTGGTCCGCGCCGTGGCCGCCGCCGCCCTCGCAGGACGTCTGCACGGAGCCCTTGCCGCCCGAGAGCGACAGCATGGGCGGCTCGGACGCGAACTCGGCCTGCATCGCGTTCTTCACGGAGATCCACTCGAGGGACGCCTCCTCCGTGCCCGTCAGCTCCTCGAAGTCGTAGGGCGTTTTCTGGGGGAGCGCGGAGAGCACGACGTTGCGCAGCCAGGCCAGCGCGGGCTCCGCCTTCTGCACGCGCGCGCGCTCGTCGAGGTCCCGGTACCACTGCGTCGCGCCGCAGCGCACGCCCGTGAACCGCTCCTCGAGGCCCTCGCCCTCCAGGACGTGGGACATGACGTACTCGCGGCCGTCGGCGACGGCGTCCCTGATCTGCTTCTCGACCTCCTTGCACTCGGGACTGCCGAGCGCGGGCCGGCCGCTGACGAGGTTGAACGAGATCGTCAGCAGGTCCTCGTAGGCGAGGTGGCCGTCCGCCGACAGCGCTAGGAGCTTGAAGGCGATCTGGCCCGTGCCCAGGTCGATGTAGAGCGTCGCCGTCTTCCGCCCGCCGTGGACGATCTTCGCCATCTCGCCGTTCGCGAGCACGGACGGCGCCTCGTCCGCGCGCTCGCTGGCGCCGGCGCCGCAGCGCGCGAGGCGCTCGGAGACGAGCTCCTCGAGGGGGTCGCTCCAGCTCAGCAGGAGCCGGTCCAGGAGGGCCTGCTGCTCGTAGACCTTGCGCCGGAACGGCAGCGACTCGTTCTCCTGGAAGAGGATCTGCATGTCCTCGGGCGCGGACGCGATGATCTCCTGGAGCGACGCGTAGGAGGCGCGGTTCGTCTCCGCCTCGTGGAGCATCTGGATGGGCTTGCCCAGGTGCATCGCGCTGCGGATCTCGAAGAGGCACCACGGCCGCCGGAAGACGCCCTTGGTCAGGATCAGCATGAAGACGGCGCTCGACCGGATGCCCTGGAGCATGCCCTCCTGCGTGATGTGCGTCGCGTCCTGGTCGTACCAGCACTTGTAGCCCCGGATCTTCATCTGCAGGTCCATGACGCCCGCGATGTCGCCGGCCTCGGCCTGGTAGTGGCTCAGGAAGAACGCGTGCTCGAGGGGCGCCCCCTTCTCGGCCGAGTTCATCAGTTTGTGGATCGTCTCGAGGTGCTTGACCAGGGTCGGCATGTCCTTGACCTCGCTCGTCTGCTTCCGCAGCGCGTCGGGCAGCGACTCGCCCTTGAAGTTGCCGAGCCGCTTCCGGAGCATGCGGTTCTCGAACTCGAGCTTGTCGAGCGACATCTTCATCTCCGTCAGCTGCTTCTGGGTCGCGGCGAAGTTGCTGTCCTGCACCCTGGCCATCTGCTCCACGCGCTCGGCCAGCTGGCCGAGGACGTCGCCGAGCTCGCTCGACCCGTAGTCCGCCATGGGCCGGAGGCGCCGCGAGCCGGGCTCGCGCGCGCTCTTCGACAGCAACTTCTCGCCGCCGCCCGGGAACGCGTCGGCCTCGAACTCCAGCGCGAGCCGGGCGGCCAGAGCGCCGGCGCGAGGCACACAGCCCGCAATGCCGCGCAATGCCCCAGTCGGTTGCGAGCTGCGCTACCCCGAAAGATGAATTCTTGAAGTTTGCCGTATTGCCTCAACATGTTCATCATAGGGGGCAGCATGGTTGATGTGTGAAGACCAAACGCTGAGGAGTCGAGCAGAGCTTTGCGTATGTGCCAATCCCGCCGCGGCAATGTCTGCGAGTCGCCCGGCCGGCGCAGCAGCAGCGACATGGCGGCTCTAGCCAAGGCGAGCGCGCCGGCCAAGGCGCTCGCCGTGCTCGGACTCAGGCTCGTTGCGGTGCAAATCGTCTTCAGCACCTATGCGATCCTGGGCAAGGAGCTGATGGAGGGCGGTCTCAACCCCATCGCCTTCGCGCTCTTACGCGAACTCGGCTCGTCGGTCGTCTATCTCATCGCGATCGCGGCGCTCCACCCGCGGCGCGGCGGCGGCTGGCCGCGGCGGCGGGACCTGCGGCGCTTCGCGCTCTGCGGCTGCTGCATGTTCGGCAATGTCTTCCTGGGCATGGCGGTCTTGTCCGGCGCGCAGGCCTCGTGCGCGGCTCGGTCGAACGCGCGGGGCCCGTCTCCGAGCAGGTGGGCCCTCGCGGCGTCGAGGGACGGCGCCGTCGCGAACTCGAGCGGCACGCCCGCGTTGTTCAGAGCGATATTGCCATCGCCGTAGCGGCCGCAGAGATGCGGATAGAATTGAAGCGTCTCCGCCAGCGAGGAGACCAAGGCGTCCTTGTCGAGTGCCTCGTAGAACCAGCACAGCGGAATCGACCGGCCGCGGTTGGCAATGTCGAACGGCGACAGCGGGATGGTGGTGGTTTCAGTGTGGGTGGATGCGCGGATGAGCATTGCTGCGACGGCGCGCGGCTCTCACGCGGTGGGTGCGCGGATGAGCATTGCTGCGATCGTGCTCTACGCGGGGCAGCCCATGCGATCAGCCAATCGATCAGCCATGCGCGCTGCGCTCATTTATCTGCAACGACTTCAACGTGCACTCGAGATCGTTAATTCTCGCGCGGCTGGGCGTCCCGTTGCGTGGGCCGCCCGTCTTAGCCATGTACGGCCGACGCTCCCTGACAAAAACACCCGCCAAAACCGATGAAGCACCCGCGCCGTCGTCGGCGCGCGACAGCGTCGAAGCGGCGGACTTCTTCGCGTCGATGCTGCGCGGCTCCCCGTCCGCGGCGCCCGCGGCGTTCCCGGAGCCGTCGATCGTCGAGGCCGAGCCGGCGCCGGACCCGCTGACGCCCGCGGCTCCGCCGGCGCCCGCGGCGCCGTCGCCCGCGCCGTCGGACGACATGGGCGCGGCGGACTTCTTCTCGTCGCTGCTCCGAGGGAGTCCGAGCGCCGCGCCCGCGCCCGCGCCGGTCGTCGAGGCGGAGGCGGCGGGCCCGCTGACGCCCATGTCGCTCGAGGCGGACGACGCGGTGCCGTCGCCGCTCCCGTCGGAGGTCGCCGCCCCCGCGGAGGCGCCGACGCCGACGCGCGCGACGAACGTCGTCTCGACCTGGGCGCAGGTCTACGAGGTCGCCAAGGCCTCGGCGAAGAAGGCGCCGCGGCCCGCCGAGGCCGAGGCCGCCGTCGTCGCCGAGGCGCCGGCGCCCGAGCCCGAGGCGCCGGCCGACGACGCGCACACCGTCGAGCTGCCGCGCGCGCCGCGGCGCAGCGCGCGGCTGAGCGCTCTGAGCGCCAAGGACGACGACGACGACGTGATCTCGCCCAAGTCGCGGCGGCGGAGCGTCATCACGACCTGGGCGAGCGTCTCGAAGACGAAGCTCACGGCGGCGGTGCCGGAGAAGGCCGCTCCGGCCGTCGAGGAGCCCGTCGTCGAGGCGCCCGCCGTCGAGGAGCCGCCGAAGCCCGTCGTCGTCGAGGAGCCCGAGGAGGTCGCGCCGACGCCGCGGCGGAACGTCGTCACGTCCTGGGCGAGCGCGTCGACGAAGCACGCGGCGCCGGCGGCCAAGCCGTCCGCGGCGGAAGCTCCGTCTATTGTTAAGCCGGTCGCCGACGCGGCGCCGGTCGCCGACGCGGCGTCGGCCGCCGACGCGGCGCCGACGCCGGCGGACGCGGCGCCGGTCGTGGACGCGGCGCCGACGCCGAGCCGCAACGTCGTCACGTCCTGGGGCGCCTCCGCGTCGAAGCCGGCGGCCGCGGCGCCGACGCCGGCGGCCGCGGCGCCGACGCCGAGCCGGAACGTGGTGACGTCTTGGGGCGCGTCCGCGTCCAAGGCCGCGCCGACGCCGGCCGCGGCGCCGAAGCCGGCCCCGGCCGCGACGCCGAGCCGCAACGTCGTCACGTCCTGGGGCGCGAGCGCCGCGAAAAAGGCCGCGCCGAAAGCCGAAGCGCCGAAGCCGGCCGAGGCGCCGACGCCGAGCCGCAACGTGGTCACGTCCTGGGGCGCGAGCGCCGCGAAGAAAGCCGCGCCGGCGGCCGCGGCGCCGGCGCCGGCCGCGCCGAAGCCCGAAGCGCCGACGCCGAGCCGCAACGTGGTCACGTCCTGGGGCGCGAGCGCCGCCAAGAAGGCCGCGCCGGCGAGCGCCGCCAAGAAGGCCCCGGCCGCGAAGCCGGAGGCCGCGGGCCCGCGGCGCGTCCGGTCGGCGCCGAGCTCGCCGGCCGCGGCGGCGCCCGAGGGCCTGCGGGCCGGCGCGCGGCGCGTCGCGGCGCCGCGGGAGCCCAAGGCGCTGACGGAGCCGCGGTCGCCGGCGTTCGGGACGTCGAAGCGGTCGAAGAAGGCCGCGCCGTCGTCCGAGGAGGCGGAGCTGCGGCGCGCCGAGGCCGCGCGGCGCGCGCTCGCGGACCGGATCGCGCGGAACCGGCGCGCGCGCGCGAGCGTCGGCAGCGCGGCGTCGGGCGCGTCCGCCGCCGCGCGGCGCGCGCCGACGGTCGCCGTGCCCTTCAAATTTTCCGAGCGGCGGCGGCGGTCGTCGTCGCAGCCGCCGCCCGCGCCGGGCCGCGCGGCCGCGGGCGGCGCGGCGCCCCCCGCGCCGCCGACCGTCGCCGAGGAGCGCGGCGCGCCGCCGTCGCCGCCGCTCGCGGAGAAGATCGCGCGCATGGACGCGGCGCTGCCCGCGCGGTTCCGCGCGGAGCCCGCCGCGCGGCCCCTGGCGGCGGCCGCGCGGCCCCTGACGACGCCCCGCTCGCCCGCGCTGCGGACCAAGGCCCTCGCGCGGGCCAAGGGCCGCGACGAGCCGCCGCCGCCGCCCGCCGAGGCGCCGGCGCCGGAGCAGTTCAGGGCGCGGCCGCTCGACCCGCGCGTGCTGAGCTCCGCGGGCGACCTCGGCGTGCCGCGCGTCCGGTCCGCGCCGACGACGCGGGCCGTCGCGCCCCGCTTCCACGCGACGCTCGCGCGCCGCCGCGCGCCGCCGTCGGCCGACGACGTCGAGCTCGCGCGGCCCGCGTTCCGCGCGGCCGCCGCGCCGCGCGGCGGCGACCGCGGCGGCGACCGGCGGCGGTCGCGGAGCCACTCGCCGCGGCCGTCGACGGCGCCGCCGGCGCCGCACCAGGCCGCCGAGGTCGACCGCCTGAGCGCGCCGCGGAGCCGCGCGCCGCCGCCCAAGGCCGCGCCGAGCCGCTTCAAGGCGCGCGCCGGCGTCCGAGAGACGTTTTTTTCCCTTCCGGGAACGCGACCGACGCTCCCGCAGGCGCGGCCCGCGCCGGACTTCGAGCGGAGCTTCGTCGTCGCCAAGAGCGGCAAGGCGCCGACGGTCGCCGCGGCGCCGCCCATGCCGGGCCTCGCGCGCCACGCGGCCGCCGTCGACGACTTCGAGGCCAAGCTCGCCGCGGAGCGCGACGCCGCGGACGCCAAGGCCGCGCGCCGCAAGCCCTTCGGCGCCAAGGACCCGAACGCGCTCGCGGGCTTCACGTCCGACGAGCGCGCCGAGAAGCGCCGGGCCTACGACACCGCGGCGAGCGCGCCGCGTCGGCGGTTCCCGAAGAAACCCGCGACGCGTCTCCCGTAGGCGAAGAAGCGCCGCCAGTCCGTCGCCGCGGAGAAGGTCGGCGCCGGCGTCCCGGGACGGCTTTTCGAGGGGACACCCAGCGCGCGCGTCGTAGGCCGACGCGGAGCTCGCCGCGGAGCTCGCCGCGGAGGCGGAGCTCCGCCGGCTCCGGGCGACGCCCATCGCCGAGGGCGGCCTCAAGTTCGCGCGTCCGCCGCGCGTGTCTTCGTTTCCTTCTTGAGGACATCACCCTCAGGTCGCCCGGCCCGTCGAGACCAAGCCGACCGCGTGAAGCCCGCGCGCGCTCTTTCCCCCTCCCCGACCCGCCTGGACCCGACCTCCCCCCCCCTACTAACCGAGCTGATGCCTCGCCACTTAAGAGGACGGCGCAGCCATGATGCGGGGCGCGCGCTGGCGGGGGAACGTGTGTGCGGGGGATGATGCTGGTGCGGGGGGCGCCCGACGGGCGCCGGCGGGCCGCGCTCGACGAGCGCGGGACTTGGGGCCGGCCGCCTAGCCCATGTAGGCCTTGACCTCGGCGGCGCAGTTCTTGGCCGTCATGCCGAGCTCCTCCATGACGATGTCGCCGGGGGCGGAGAAGCCGAAGCGGTCGACGCCGATGACCTTGCCGTCGAGGCCGACGTACTTGTACCACATGGTGGTGACGCCCGCCTCCATGGCGACGCGCTTGCGGCAGGCCGCGGGGAGGACGGACTCCTTGTAGGCGGCGTCCTGGCGGTCGAAGCGCTCCATGCAGGGCATGGAGACGACGCGGACGCCGTCGCCGAGCTCCTTGGCGGCGTTGTAGGCGTGCTGGACCTCGGAGCCCGTCGCGATGATGATGCACTCGAGGTCGCCCTTCTCCTCGACGAGCGTGTAGGCGCCCTTGAGCGTGCCCTCGCGGCGCACGGACGCGGGGACCTCGACGATCTCCTGGAGGTTCTGGCGGGAGAGGATGAGGGCCGTGGGGCCGTCCTTCTTGTCGATGGACGCGACGTAGGCGCCGGCCGTCTCCTCGTAGTCCGCGGGGCGGATGACGTCGAGGTTGGGGAACGCGCGGAGGCCCGTGACCGTCTCGACGGGCTGGTGCGTCGGGCCGTCCTCGCCGACGCCGATGGAGTCGTGGGTCCAGATGTAGGACACGGGGAGCTCCGCGAGCGCGGCGATGCGGACCGTCGCGCGCATGTAGTCGGCGAAGACGAGGAACGTCGCGCCGGACGGGCGGAAGAGGCCGTAGTAGGCGAAGCCGTTGAGGATGCAGCCCATGGCGTGCTCGCGGATGCCGTAGTAGACGTTGCGGCCGGAGTAGGACTTGCCGAAGTCCGCGCCGAAGTCGCCGCCGCCCTTGATGTAGTTCTTGTTCGAGCCGTGGAGGTCCGCGGAGCCCGAGATGTAGAGGGGCACGGCGTCGGCGATGTTGTTGATGATCTCGGAGCCGGAGACGCGCGTGGCCTGGTCGCCGCCCTTGGACTCGGGGATGGCCGCGAAGAGCTCGGCGACCGAGGGCGTGACGCCGTCGATGCCGTCCTGGAGCGTCTTGGCGAGGTCGGGGTTGGCGCCCTTCCAGGCGTCGTAGGTCGCCTCCCAGGCCTCGTAGCCCGCCTTGAGCGTCGCCTTGCGGTCCGCGAAGAACTTGTAGGTGTCGTCGGACACGAACCACTTCTCCTCGGGGAGGCCGAGCGCCTTGCGCGCGCCGTCGACGTAGGCGACGCCGGCCTCGCCGTGGGCCGCGTTCGTGCCCGCGACCTCGTCGATGCCGCGGCCGATCTCCGTCTTGCAGATGATCAGGGTGGGCTTGCCGTTGTTGTTCGACTTGGCCTCCTCGGTCGCCTCGTACAAGGCCTTGAGGTCGTGGCCGTCGAGGAGCGTGATCACGTCCCAGCCGTAGGCCTCGTAGCGCGCGCCGACGTCCTCGGACTGCGTGAACTCGGCCATCTTGTCGAGGGTGACGTCGTTGGCGTCGTAGAGCACGATGAGGTTGTCGAGCTTCTCGTGCGCCGAGAAGCACGCGGCCTCGGCGGAGACGCCCTCCTGGAGGCAGCCGTCGCCGACGATGCAGAAGATGTGGTTGTCGAAGATGGTGTGGTCGTCCGTGTTGAAGATGGCCGCCGACATCTTCGACGCGGCCGCGAGGCCCGCGCAGTTGGACACGCCCGCGCCGAGGGGGCCCGTCGTGGCCTCGATGCCGGGCGTCACGTGCTCCGAGTTGGGGAACTCGGGGTGGCCGGGCGTCATGGAGTGGTGCTGGCGGAAGTTGGCGACCTCGTCCTTGCTGAGGTCGAAGCCCGCGAGGTGGAGCCACGAGTAGAGGAACATGGAGCCGTGGCCCGCCGACAGCACGAAGCGGTCGCGGTTGATCCACTTGGGCTCGTCGGGGTTGTAGTTCATGGACTGGCCGTAGAGCACCGCGCCCATCTCCGCGGCGCCGAGCGGCAGGCCGAGGTGGCCCGACTCCGCGGCGGCGATGGAGTCCATGGCGAGGCCGCGCGCCTCGTTCGCGGCCGTCTGGAGGGCCTCGGACGTGGCGGGGGCGACCTGCGGTGGCGGTGGTCGTGTGCCTTCGTGTCTCGGGCGGGCGGGCGGGCGGAGGGCGCGTGGGGTTCCGACACTTCTGGGGGCGATTCGGCGCGCGCCTCGTCGGAAGTTCAACCTCGGCGGCGGCCGCGCGCGCGGGTTGTTGTGGGGGCCGAGCGAGGCGCGCGCGGGGCTTGCATGCACCCCGCATGTCGTGCGGGCGCCTGGGGCGGCCCCCGCGACGGCGCGGCTCTGCTTCTTTTCGAGGTTCCTTCAAGTTAGGGATTCGCCGACTCGCTGGACGCCGACGCGCACCTCGAGCGTGGCCGCCTTGAGCGGGGCCATGGACACCTTCTGGGCCGGGCCCATGAAGGCGGCGGCCGAGCCGGCGAGAGCAGCGACGGCGAACTTCATGGTGGGTTACGGCGGCGCGCGCGAGTACGTCTCGAGCTGCTACTTGCTCGGGATCTGCGCTCGCGTCAGCCTCGAGGAGGGTCGACGTCGGATCGCCCCCCGGAACACAAAGCCCCGGCGAGTTTTTCCTTTTTTTTTTACATGCGCCCTAGTGCCGAGATCTCTGAGCCGTCGAGCTCTATGACCTGCAGGCTACGACGGGGCCAGTCGTACGGTGTCGTGACGCGCCCAGTCGGCCGCCTCCTCCGTGGCCCGATCGGCGAGCGAGGCGCGGCGCGGCCCGGCGCTGTCGGAGGCAGGGGACGGCAATATTGGAGAGCGATACGACTATCAGCCCGCTGACCCTCACTCTGGCCCCCTAGTCCATACGCCACCCGCCAATAGCCCGTCGTTCCGGCACGACCGTCACGCGCGCGCAGGCCAAAATTGCCACTCACAAATCTTGTGTCTCCTCTCGGGGCCTCAACCAAACTCTGGGCAGCTGGATCACAGAGCATCCTGCCGCAAGGCTTTGCGCACGCCAGCTCTGGAAACGCATCCAGGCCAGGACGCGCTCTCAAATACCCACAAACTCCTCCACCCACCTCTCGAACAAAAAAAAGCGCCTTCCGCGCGCCGAAACCCGGGAAAAAAGCTGCCGAACGGGCGGCAGAACATGTCCTGGCCCGAGCCGCCGGACGAGGCGGAGCGCGTGCGCGTGCTCCACAGCCTGGACGTGCTCGACGTGCCGAAGCAGGAGGAGTTCGAGCGCATCACGAGCCTCTGCGGGGCGGCGCTCGACGTGCCCGTGTGCCTCGTGTCGCTCGTCGACGCGCAGCGCCAGTGGTTCCTGAGCAACCGCGGCCTCGGCGACGTGCGGGAGACGGGCCGCGAGCTCGCCTTCTGCGGCCACGCCATCATGCCGCGGAGCGACGGGGGCCTCCACAGCGACGAGCCCGTCGACGTCTTCGTCGTCCGCGACGCCGAGGCCGACGACCGGTTCCGGACGAACTCGCTCGTCACGGGCTGGCCGCACATCCGGTTCTACGCCGGCACCGCCCTACGGGTGGCCGGCTCCGACGGCGTCAAGCGGGCCATCGGCACGCTCTGCGTCATCGACACGGCCGTCGAGCACGGCGGCACGGGCGCGCGGTGCGCGGACGCGTTCGGCGCGCGCGAGAAGCAGATCCTCATGGACTTTGGCGCGCTCGTCGTGGGCGCCATCGAGGGCCGCACGGCGGCGAAGCGCACGCTCGCCATGGCGAAGAACGACTACATCTCCTGCACGGCCCACGACATCCGCACGCCCGTGGCCTGTTTCCAGCTCTCGCTCGAGCTCCTCGCCGCGTCGCCGCTCTCCGACGAGCAGCGCGAGTACGTCACGGACGCGCAGCTCTGCGTCGAGGTCATCACGGAGACGGTGGAGCGCGCCATCGAGACGGCGCGCCAGCAGCGCGGCGCGGCGCCGAGCCCCGCGCGGCGCGAGCGCGTCGACGTCCGGGGCCTCGTCGCGCGCGTCGACGCGCTCACGAAGGCGCTGTCGGCGCAGCGGCCGCCGCTGAACCTGTGCGTGGCCGACTCCGTGCCCGAGCACGTCGCGTCCGACGGCACGCTTCTGTGGCGGTGCCTGCTGAACTACGTCACGAACGCGATCAAGGCGACGCCCGACGCGACGAAATCCGTCGACGTCGCGTTCTCGGTGGTGTCCATGGACCGCACGGGCGTGACGCCGCCGTCGACGTGCGCGTCCCTGCTCTGCCGCGCGGGCGAGGCTTTAGGCCCCGCGCCGGGCGAGGACGGCTTCCCGGACGCGCCCGAGGACGACGAGAACGTCGTCGCGCTCGCGCCGCACGAGGCGCCCGCGTCGGGCCGCTGGCTCAAGCTCGAGGTCGCGGACCAGGGCGCGGGCGTGCCCCGCGCCGTGCGGCGGCGCCTCTTCCACGCCTTCGTCCAGACGCCGGGCACGCGCGAGGGCACGGGCCTCGGGCTCCTCGCCGTCAAACAGTGCGCGACGATGCTCCGCGGCGCGTGCGGCACGCGGCCCCGGCGGTGCCACGCGCCCGCGTCGCCGCCGAAGAAGAAGAAGGCCAAACTCGTCAGCGCCCTCGACGCGACGCTGCCGGCGACGGAGAGCCCGCCCGCGCCGTCGCGGCCGCGGCTCGAGCAGCCGCCCGGCGACGACGAGGGCTCCGTGTTCTGGCTGCTCGTGCCTCTAGAGGAGGTCACGGACGACCTGGAGGACCACTCCTCCACCTCGTCCGTCGCGTCGCCCTTCCTCAACTACCGGCTGACGCCCCCGGGCTCGGGCGCGCGCGCGCTCCGGTCGGGGAGCGGCACGGCGCCGCAGCGCGCGCTCCCGCCGGCGGCCCTGCCGCCGCCGCGGCCCGTCAACGCGCCCGACGTCGCGCCGCCCGCGCCGCCGAAGCCGCGGCACGAGGCGCTCATCGTCGAGGACTCGTCGCCGATCCGCAAGATGCTCAAGCGCATCCTCGAGCGCTGCGAGTTCGCCGTCGACGAGGCGGGCAACGGCGAGCAGGGGTTGGCGCTCCTCTGCAAGAAGCGCTACGACATCGCCATCATGGACTTCCTCATGCCCATCATGGACGGCGTCACCTGCACGAAAAAATTCCGCCAGTGGGAGGCCGCCGACCGGGCGCGCGCGGCCGCGGGCCGATGCCTCATCGTCGGCTCCAGCGCCAACGCCGACGCCGAGGACATCAAGCACGCCTACGAGTCGGGCCTCGACGACTTCGTCCCCAAGCCCGTCAACGTCACCGCGCTCCGGACCATGCTCGCGAAGCACGGGCTCCTCCCCGCGGACGCCCCGACGGCGCCCGCGCCCGCGTGAACGTCCGCGTGAACCGCACATCAGAGCCAACTCACCTGGCCGCCCTTAAACACCCTCGCGTCGTCGCCACGCCGTGAGCTCGTCGCGCGCGTAGGGCGTCCGCGCGACGCGCGCGCGGCCGGCGAGATCGAAGTCGCGCGCGAGCGCCGCGCGGAACGCGGAGGACCCCGTCTGGGGCGACCGCTGGCCGCCGGCGACGTGGCCCGCCGCGGGCGCCAGCTCGCCGACGTGGAGGACGACGTCGCCGCGGAACCGCGCTAGCGCCCGCGCCGCGACGCAGTCGCCGCCGCCCGCGGAGAAGGGCGGCCAGCACAGGAACAGGACGTCCTGGCCCCGCACCGCGCTCGGGCCGTCGCCGCGGACGACGCCGGACGCCGTCGCCGGCGGGTCGGCGTCGACGGCGTCGACGCGCCGGAAGCCGACGGCGCGCAGCGTGGCGGCCCACAGCCCGGAGCCCGCGCAGGGGTCGACCGCGGTCCGGCCGCGGAGCGTGCCCAGCAGCCGCAGCGCCGCCGGCGTCGGGCAAGCGAAGGCGTAGCGCAGCTTCGCCCGCTCGCCGCGGCTACGGAGGAAGCCGACCATGGCGAGGCGGTGCGCGACGGGCCGCGCGTAGACCGCGCGCGTGTAGGCGGCGACGTTCGCCGGCGTCGCGCGCCGCGTCGACGCGCGCCAGATGTCGGCCCAGCCGCGCCGCTTCGCGCGCGCCCAGGCGACGCGCCGCAGCCGCACGAGTCCGAGGAGGGCGCGTGGCAGTTTCTTTCGGTGGTTTTGTGGCGGCATCACAGCGGTTGCGGTGCTCAGTTTTTGTGGCGGCACCACAGTCCTTAGAGCGAGCTTGCGATGACGCTTGCGGTGCTTAGAGCGCACGCACGCTACTCACAGTGGCGCACGCTACTCACAGTGGCGCATGTGTGTGGCTAAGAGCACGTCCGTGACGTTCAGATCGCTCTCGCGGCGGTCCCACAGCGTGCAAAAGTGACCACCATAGCTTTTGCTGGCACCACTGCAACACTTCAACAAATCGCTCGAGCTCGCGGCGCGATGGTCGCGGCCTAAAAGCGCCGGCCAGACGCGCTCATATGGAGGCCTACGCGCACCTGAAGACGGCGGAGCAGCTCAAGGAAGAGGGCAACGGCGAGTTCCGCGCCGGGCGCCACGCCCAGGCCGTGGCCAAGTACCGCGCGGCGCTCAAGAAGAAGTCGCTGGCCGCGCCGCTGCGCGCGACGCTGCTCTGCAACGTCGCCGTGTGCCTCGTGCGCCTCGAGCGCTGGGAGGAGGCCGTCGACGCCGCGAGCGATTGCCTCAAGGGCGACGACGTCGCGGCGAAGACGCGGGCCAAGGCGCTCCTCTTCCGGAGCCGCGCGCTCCGCGGCTCGCCGCACCGGCGCGACGGCGGCGCGGCCGCGGCCGTCAAAGACCTCGAGGCGGCCCTGGCCCTCGACCCGGCCCAGGCCGCCCTGCGCCGCGAGCTCGCGGACGCGCAACGGGCCGCGCCGGCCGCGGCCGCGCCCGCGCGCGTCGCCGTTACGACCGGCCCGAGAGACGACGACGTCGTCGGCGAGGCGCGGCTCCTCGACGACGCCGCGCTCAAGGGCGCGCTCAAGGGCAAGGCGCTCTACGGCGCCGACGAGCAGCGGCGGCGCTACGTGGCGCCGCCGGCCGCGCCCGCGGAGCCGCCGCGCGAGTGGGTGCAGGCTCGCATGAAGGAGGCGCTCGAGCGCAAGAAGGCCGAGTCCGGCGACATGCCGCCGACGAAGGCCTACCGCGCGACGGCTTCGGGCGGCGTCGTGCCGACGTGGCAGCGCACGCCGGCGACGGCCGCCGACGCGGCGGCCGTCGACGCGTTCAAGCTCGCCGCGCCCGAGCTCCTCCCGAGCGACTTCGCGGCGCCCGACGCCGCGGACTTCAACCGGGGCTACCGGGAGGTCGACGTGTCCGTCTGGTGCCGGCGGCGCCTCTTCGCGCGCCTGCGCCGGCTCGAGGCGCGCTACGCCGACGCCGGCGTCCGCGACGGCGCCGCGGGCGTCGTCCGATTGACGCCGAGCTCCGTGCACGGCGACGCGCTCATGGTCCGCGTCGGCGAGCGCTGGGACCGCGCCTACGACCTCGGCGCGCGCTTCGACTTCGAGGCGCGGCTGGGCGCGCCGCGCACGAAGGATGTCGTCATGAAGGGCAAGAAGCAGCGCGTCTTCATGGGCGTGCCGACGGTCCGCGGCCGGGGCGGGAACGGGGCGATTCGAGGTCGCTTCAACATGAGTGTGCCGCGCGCGATCGTTCCAAAGAAAGGATCCGCGCGTCGAGCACGCTCCGAATGATCATCGCCCGTCCAACATTGAGCCGAAACGAGCGGAAATCAACCGAGAGAGGAAGTTGGGAAGTTCGCGCCCTCAGGTCCGCGGCGCCGTCGTCGTCCGCGAGCTCACGCACGTCGACGGCCCCGACGAGGCGCTCGTGGAGCTCGAGTGGGGCTACGGCACGTCGGAGTTCCACCTCGAGAAGGACGAGGTCGGGCTGTCGAGGGCCCACGCGGCCGCGCTCCGGGAGCTGCTGTCGCCGAAGGAGACGGCGGCGAACGGCGTCCGCGCGGCCGTCGTCGACATGCTCCGGGGCTTCGTGCGCGACTACGAGGCGGAGATCCCCGGCGAGCCGCGGCCGAAATTAGACGCGATCTCGCGGGACGCGCACCTCGACGCCGTCGACGCGGCCGTCGCCGCGGACCGCGCGCGCCGCGGCTGCGACGTCGACGGCGCGCCCGCGTTCGCCGCGGTGGAGCCCTGGGTCTGGCAGACGCCGACGGCGCCGTCGACGCAGCTCGACGTCGACCCGAACTCGAAGCTCGCGAAGCTCAACGGCCTCGACGCGGCGCCGGACGCGCCGGCCGCGCCGCGGGACGACGCGCCGCCGGACGACGCGCCGTCGGATCCGACGGACGCGCGCGGCGGCTTCAGCCACAGGATGATGGAGCAGTTCGAGGCGCTGTCCAAGGACGGCTACACCGTGCTCCTCGGCTCCGAGGAGCCCGAGGCGCCGCCGGAGGCCGCGGCGCGCGACCCGCTCGACTACGACTCCAAGTTCGGCGACGTCTCGGACTCGGACGAGGAGTTGGAGTTGCCGGGCGACTTCGAGCCGCCCGGCGACCTCGGCGACGACTCGAAGCGCCTCTGGGGCGCCATCTTCAAGATCGCCAAGGGCAACCCGAAGGAGTGCCAGCGCCTCATGCAGAACCCGGACGAGCTCCAGAAGCACCCGGAGATCACGGCCCTCTACGAGGAGCTCGACCGGCCGTAATTTTGGGAGATTAGAGGTCCACGCGCGCGCCCGTCGTGTAGCGCGGCAAGGCGACCGTGTCCACGGCGGCGGCGCCGTCGACCTCGCGGCCGAGGTCGCTGGAGCGCGCGGCCGCGCGGACGAGGAACGTGCACGGCTCGCCGACGCGGGCCTCGATGGAGCTCAGCACGGCGCGCAGCGGCGTGCCGGAAGGAACGTTGCAGGTCGTCAGGAGGGCGCCGTCGTCAAACGACTTCACCACATAGTGCGGAGCGCCGGGCGCCTGCGCGCGGCGCGGCTGCGATTGTATGATTGGTTCGGCTTCGAAGACGTGTTCGAAGGCGGCCAGCCAGTCGTCATGCGCAAGCCGCCGCAGTCGACGCGTTGCGCCGTGCTCCATGCTGGAAATCGGTCGAGCTGCGCGTTCCTTTAGCTTGTGGGTCATGACCATGGGCTGCGACTTGAGTAATTACGCGCTTCAACTTGCCATGTTTACCCCGGTGTCCGCTGCCGGCCGCTGGTGCCCGAGGCTGCCTACCTCGGCACACGGTCGTACCATGCAGGCCGACGACCGGAGCCTCTGGGAGCGGTCGACGGCGCGGTCGTACCTGCGGGCCTACTTCCGCCTCGAGCTGCGCATGCTCTGGTGGTTCCGGTCGAGCGCCACCGGCCGGAGCCTGGCGCTGCCCCTGCGGCACGTCATCTCCCAGAACCCGACGCGGGACGTGACGGCGCTGACCTGGGTGGCCTTCGTCGCCGGCATCTTCTACAGCGGCTACCACTTCACGGTGAACTGCGCCATGAATCTGGGCTTCGTGCTCCTGACGCGCGCGGTGATCGCGGCGAGGAGGCCCGTCGAGTACGACGTGCACCTCAAGCAGCTCGCGGACCGCACGCGGGGCGCCTACGGGTCGCCGGACCTCGCGACGCACATGGCCGTCGTCGTCTTCCTCCAGCTGTCGGAGAAGGGCGTCGACGACGCGCGCGGGACCGACTACGAGATCTTCGAGGGCTTGATCTGGGGCGGGGCCCTGGCGCTCGTCGCGCTCGTCGCGCTGTCGCGCCTCGTCGCCGGGTCGCGCTTCGTCTACCAGGTCGCGCTGTCGCTGGCGACGGGCGCGCTCGGCATCACCGCCGCGCGGACGCACGTGACGTCCAAAATCGACCCGTGGCGCGACGAGTGGCACAACCTCGCGAATAACGCGGGCCACGTCGTCTGGCTCACGATCATCTGGTCCTGCGTCGCGGCCTACGTCGCCCACTACGCCGAGGACAACTCGTCCCACTTCTTCTCCATCCCCAACGACGAGTTCACGCGCGTCATGAAGGGCATCTACAACCAGCCGGGCAGCCGCGGCTACGCGCCGAAGCGGCGCAACAAGCGCGGCCAGCAGTACGCGCCCCCCGACGCCCTGTCGAACCTGTCCGCGCGCCTCTCGCAGCGGCCGCGCGCCGCGCCGGAGATCTAATCGACGGCCGGGAAGGTGTATGATGAAGTGGGTTGCAGCCAAGTTGCAGCTGAGGCCCTGGCAAACCAAGGGGATATAAATCTAGATGGGGTGGCAGGCGAAACGCGAGGTCCTCGTACTACTCGGGGCCGCCGCTAGCGTTTTCTTTCTTCTTCCACGCCGCAGCGCGCGGGCTGAGTGCAACGATGGCGGGTCGCGCGGCGCGGCGCGGCTGCGGAACCCTTCGACGGGGCGGGGCAGCGAATTTGGGCTGCTGAGATCATTGCGTTGGCTCGCGAGCGCGACGGTTGTTCGGCGGCGGGACGAGAGGGCGGCGGTGTGAGTCGAGTGTGCGATATTTTCTTGTCCTTAGAGGTTGGAGGCGCCCTATGGGTACCCGCGGGGGGCTCGAAACCTTCAGGACACACTTTTCCCACGATCTCAGAGCCTGCGCAGCCCCGGCGCCGACGGTGTCGCAACACAGTTTCTCGGGCAGCGTGCGGGCATTCGAGGTCGAGAACTTTTCGTGTCCTGAGATGCTCGAGCCCATCCATAGGTACCAACGAAGGGCTCTGCAGCGCCAGCAGACGGTCCACGACCATCATCATCGCGAACACGTCCAAGAGCTGCCCCAAAACCCCCTTCCTCGCGTGGCGCCAAACCGGACACGGTGCCCTCCAGCGCGCCTCGGTTTCCTTCCACCGGACCCGAACCGCCCGGACGCGTAAGTCTTGTCGCGGGCGCCTTCGCGGGGGAGCGAATACCGCTGCGGTCCGTCTGGGGCCGCGTCGACGACGGCGGCGTCGAAAAGTCCCCGGCCAAAAGTCGTCAACATTGCCCCAAAACGATGGGTTGCAGTACGAGGAGCTCGCGCAACATAATCTCGTTGAGCTGCCACCCCATACTATTTATTACCCCTTGGGCAAACCCGTCTCGCCCCGAGCGTCGGTGGTGTCCGCGCGCACCTTCGCGGCGCCGACATGGCCTGGCTCTTCAAGGGTTCGTCGGGCGGCGCGGGCCTGAGCCTCCACGACGTCAAGGAGCCCGTCTTCAAGAAGGAGCCCGTGGACTCGGGCCTCGCGTCGGCGTCCTTCTCCCTCTTCGCCGGGGCGCGGCGCGCCGACGGCGAGGGCGTGTCCGTCTTCCGCCTCGAGCGGTCCAAGGGCGACGAGGGCTCGACCAAGGTCCAGAGCGCGCTCAAGTGCGTCAAGCTCGCGAAGACGCTGCGCCACCCGCACGTGCTCCCGTTCCACGAGGGCGAGGCGGCCGAGGCCGGCGGCGGCGAGGTCTCCGTCGTCACCGACGAGGTCCTGCCGCTCGAGGAGTGGCTCAAGGTGAACGGCGGCGGCGACCCGCGGACCCTGGCCTGGGGCGCCTACTGCGCGCTCCAGGCGCTGGGCTTCCTCCACCAGAGCGGCCGCGCGCACGGCGGCGTGTCGCCGGACGCGTTCTTCGTGACGAACGGCGGCGACTGGAAGCTCTGGGGCTTCGAGCTGAGCTGCAAGGTCGTGCCCGGGTCCGGCGACGACGACGCCCTGGGCTTCTTCCGGGCCCACGAGCACCTCGTCGACGCGCGGTACCGGTCGCCCGAGCGCCGATCGCGCGACTGGGAGCTCGTCGCCGGCGGCAAGACGGGCGCCGTCGATGTCTACGGCTTGGCGCGGGTGCTCGAGGACGCCTACGGGGACCGCGTGCCGCGGGAGCTCGCCGTGTGGATCCGGCGCATGGTCAACGACGACCCGGTGAGGCGGCCGTCGGCGGACTCGGTGCTCCGGGGCTGCCCGCTCTTCCGCCAGCCGCTCATGAAGGAGATGCAGGCGCTGCAGGACCTGCAGGCGTCGTCGCTGGAGGACCAGGTCGGCTTCTACCGGCGCCTCGACGCGGCGACGAGCCGCCTGACGCCCGACGGGCTGCCGTGCAAGGGCGCGCTCGACGAGACGCTGTGGCGCGGCGCGTGCGTCCACAAGCTGCTCCCGCGGCTCCTGGCGACGCTGGACATCGCCCTGGCGGGGTCGTCGGAGCCCGACGCCGCCGCGAAGCGCCGCGCCGTCGTGTCCTGCGCGCTGCCGCTCCTCGTGCAGATCGTCGACATGCTGAAGGTCGGGGGCGAGGCGCCGCCGCCCGCCGACGGCGCGGCCAAGTACGCCGCGGCGGCGGAGCAGCGCGTCGTCGCGAAGATCGTCACGGCGCTCGAGACCGTGCTCGTCATCCGCGACCCGGCCGTGCGCCTCGAGGCTTTGAAGCGCGCGGACGCGCTCGCGCCGCTCCTGTCCGCGGACTACATCAACCGCAAGCTCTTCGACGCGCTGCTGCTGGGCTTCGGCGACGCCAACGACGACGCGCGGCTGCTGACGCTCATGGCCATGCTCGCCATCGCGCCGCGGCTCAACGAGAAGAACCGCACGGACCGCCTGCTCCGCGTCGTCAAGCGCCTCGAGAACGACAAGGCCGCGAAGATCCGGACGAACGTCATCATCTTCTACGGCCGCCTCGCGCCGGAGCTCTCGGAGCAGCTCCGGCACAAGGTCGTGCTCCCCGCCTTCGTCAAGGCCCTCGACGACAAGATCCCCTTCATCCGCCTCGCGGCGGTCCGCGCGCTCGGCGCGACGCGCGACGTCTTCAACGCGCAGATCGGCGCGCGCTTGATCGCGCCGAAGCTCGTGCCGCTGGCCGTGGACGTCAACGGCCACGTCCGCGACGCGGCGATCCCCTGCCTCGAGGCCTACCTGTCGGAGGTGCGCAAGGAGGCGGAGCGCATGACGAAGGAGGACGCGGCGCGGGAACAGCAGGCCGCGGAGAAGCGCGTCGCCGAGGTCGAGGCGGCGAAGCACGCGCCGCCGCCGCCGGCCGCGGCCGCCGCGCCCGCGGCGGCCGAGGCGGCCGCGCCCGCGGCGCCGGCCGACGACGGCGGCGGCTGGGCGTCGTGGGCCGTCGGCAAGGTCGGCGCGGGCCTCGGGGCCGGCGCCGCCGCCGTCGGCAAGGGCGTCGCGACGGCCGCGACGGCCGCCGTCGCCGCGGCCGCGCCGGCGCCCGCGCCCGCGGCGCCCGCGCGGCCGCCGGCGCCGCCGGCGCCCGAGCCCGCGGCGCCCGCGGCCGACGGCCGGGGCGACGGCTGGGGCGACGACGACGACGCCGCCGGGTCGCCCAAGGCCGCGGGCGACGGCTGGGGCGGCGACGGCCGGGGCGACGAGCCCGCCGCGCCGCCGCCGCCGAAGCGCGCGTCGCCGCGCGCGGCGCCGAAGCCCGCGTCCGACGGCTGGGGCGACGGCGGGGGACG